TTAGACTACCTCCCTTTTTGGTAATTATAACTATACTACAACCTATTATAACCCTATATAGGTTACTATAAAATTATCATTTACATCTAAAGGTAACCGCAAAGCCTATACTATAATTGGCCGACCGGGAGCCAGACGAACGGCGTACTATATATACTACCTCAATAAAATATTGAACGTAATATTTCTAAGCCGATTCTTAACTTCTCCGGGTCTATAGAAATAGAATCTAATTCTATACTTAATATTCGTCTTTATTATAAATTTCATTATCCTTTAACAAATCTCTATCTAGCTCAATCTTGGTAAATTATAGCCGTATAGTGGCTTTACCCTTACTTTTATTCTTATTAGCGGAATATTTTCTTACCTAATGCTAGGAAGAACTATAGCCTATATAACGGTTCTCCTTCTTCTACCGTTATCATTATTTAAGAATAATAGCTCTAACCCCGGAAGACGAACTACTACTACGTTTCCTTCTTATTATTCTTATAGCGCCAATGCATATTGGGTCGCTCTTAAAAGAGCTTCTAGCCCTAGAAAAATAATTATTACTATTAAAACGACAGAAAAATTCCAAGAACGCTAAATATTATTCTAGAGCGTCTGGGTGTTCTTTAATATAATTCTTCCACTCCTCGTCAAAACTACCCTTTAATATTATTATTTTAGTATCGTCTAGCTACATAGAAGCTCTAGCCCTATAAATAAAGTTATCAAATCGAAGGATATATTTAATAATTAATTCTCTAATTCCCTAAAGGGTTTCAAAGAACTCCAAACCAATACGCTTATTTACGTTCGAATTACCGTAATCGAGGCGGATCTTCTATAAAAGACGGTCGGAGGTATAGTTAGCTATAGAAAATTACTTTACAAAGGGAAGAAGCTCGATTTTAATAGAGAGCGAAAGGTTAGAGTAGAAGTAGTAAAATTAGGCCTCCAAATCGCCAATAACGTAACCGTCGGTATACAACTTAATTTTAGCACTATAAATCTAAGCGTCGATTTCTTTAACGGTCCCCGTAAATTTATCGAAATAGGAAAGAACAAGCTTCGGGGTTGCAAAAGTCTTAACAACGGCGAACTTAGAAATAAGAATTTAAATAGCCACAGCGAATTATTATTAACGTTTATTAGCCGTCTAGGCCTAGGGAATAGAAATTATAATCGAAGTAGCAGTAAGGGTTTTATATACGAGAAGAAAAAAAAGGTCGTACAAAGAGCGAAGAAGCGGCAGTTTCTATAGACAAGAAAAAAGGTCGTATAGACGGTCGAAAAGGGACTCTTCTAGGCAGACGAAACAAAGTGTCTAGAAGGATTAAAAAGAAGGTCAATAATATATTACGGGTCTACTAGGTTATATACGGTAGTAGGGGTGGAACAGAGCTTAAAATTATTAATAAGGAGGAAAAGGTCTACAGGCCTAAACAGGTCTGCAGAGACACAACTATATACTGGAATAAACAGGTAGCCTAACTAGCACTAGCCAACCAGAGCATACTTGGGCCTACAGGCCCAGGCACTATATCTGGGCGCTAGCCTATTATACTCACTAAGGCGGTTCTCGAATTCTATTACTACTATCGAATAGGGGTAACGAAATAATGCTTTCGTATTTAAAATAGCAAACTCGTTTCTAGCTGACTATAATATATATATATTAAATACTGCGAATACCCTATACCTAAGGAGAATACTCGCTTTCGTCGTAATTATAAGAAGATTGTATAATACTACCCTTTTAAGTTCAAATTTAAGTACGTACCTAAGGTTACTAGCGACGACGGCGGACTCTTTTATATTATTACGGCTATAAATCTTAAGTACCGCAATTATTCTCTAACGGCCTTGATAATTACCTTTACCAAAATTCGTCTCGCTATTACAAACGACCAAATAGAATATATCTACGACCTTTTCGCCCAAAGGGAGTTATCGATCCGTACCGTCAAATAGTTCGCAAAACGTAAGTATCTAAAGCTCCTCCTTACTATTAAAGACTATTCCAATATACGCTTTTGTACCTGTAAAAAGCAGTAAATTAATTATACTAATATTTAAAATTTCGTATAATTATTATAGGAAGAAGTAGAATTCAACGAAGAGGATAAAATAATTATGTATTATATTATAAATTTCGAAAATCATTATTATATTATATTTGATTTACTATTTTAGGTACTTAAAAAGTAAGAATCCTTATAATTATAATATTCCTATGTTTTAATAATCAATACTACCTATAAAATTAATAGATTCTATAAACCGCTAATTATAAGGGTTATTATTATATTTATATATACTACTACTCTTATTTTCTAATATTTAATTAATGACGAGAAGGAGGAAGGAGGATTTAAGTAGTACTTTAAATAGTTGCGGGAAGCGATGGAGGAGTTAGAAATCCTACTACCTAAAGTCTTTATTACGGATAAAAACACACAGTTTATTATTACCTTAAAGTTTACGTTCCTTAATCGACAGCGGTAGCGGTATATATAATATCTTAATAACAACGTCGTTACCGCTATTAAGAAGTATTAGAAGAAAAATAAAGTAAAAAATAAGGTAAAAAGGGTTCTTAACGAGGGCGCGGTTCCCAACGAGGTAAAGGGAGGGGTACTCGCCAAAGTAAGCGTAATTCCTAACCCTCTTCCTAACTTTCCTCTCGACCTTCCTCCCCCTTCTAACTTTCCTCTTCTCAACCCCTCCAATCTACTTAAACCTAGTAAAACGACGATAATAATTTTAATAATAATTCAAATACTATAAACTTTAAGAGGCTTTAACGAGAGTACTAAAAAGTATATACAATTACTAAAATTAAAATTTAGATGGGCTCCCTACCTACCCAATTAATATAAACAAAGACCGCCTTCTTTACGTACTAGCAATATATAGTATTTAATAATAATTTGTTTGATGTTATTAGCGCTAAGCGATTTATAAATACTACCTTCAAAGAGACTTAATTAAAATTATTCAAATATATTAATAATGAGTTTATACCCTACAAGTTAAAGTAGGCTGGTTGCTATATTAAAATTAATTTCAATTTTAAGAATAAAATTACCTCTCTAAACGAATTTATTAATATTAATATTAAGGTAAAAGGGTTATTAACGCGTACGGGCCTCAATAAAATATTCTATACTACTAAAGTTATTACTTAGAAACGCTATAATTTATATAAAGAAGGTATTACTATATTTAATATGTAGGTATATTGTAATTATCTACGAAAGGGCTAATTAAGTAATTATAAATTTTAAATATTTAGTTAGGGTTTAAATATATTAGTAGACTAATATATAAAGGCGTCTAATATAATATAATTCAACTAAAACTCCCGCCCTCAAGACTTCCCTCACTAGCGTAGCAATTTTAAAAATTAATATAGTTTATTATATACCTATAAATTACTAAAGCGGTACGATAATGAGAATCCTTAGAAAATACTAATTAATAAAGTTAATTATCATCCTTTTTAATATTTCGAAGAAGTATTAAATACTTAAGACTAGTACCTCCATATTATTTCTACGATTAAAATAGTGCTTAAAGGGCGTCCTAAGAACTAGTACAATCCCTTTAGCGATAAGGCTATTATTTTTATTCCTATTCAAAATCCCCGCGGGGTAATAAGAATTAGAAGAAGTAAGTATATCCCTAATAATATAAAACGTAATTATTCTCGAATTGAAATTTCTAAACCTAATTTAAAAGCGATAAATACTACTAATAAAACGGCTAGGGACGAAACTAGCGAATAAAATTATATTATTATTAATAATAATACCTAATAGCCAAATTAATTGCTAAAATGTAAAAGAGGTAAACTAAAAGGATTAAGTAGAGCGAAAGGAAATAAAGCGAAAACTCCAATTCTAACTGCCTCCTCCAGCCGCCTGGCACGTACCTCCCGTAAACGCCCTATTCTAAAACTAGAACCGGGCTCTCCAAAACTGGGCTCTCTAAAACCAAATTCTCTACTAAACTCGCCGTTAAATTCTATTAATAAGAATAATATTAAAAATGAGTACTTTACTATTCTAAATTACGCTATAGTAGAGTGGAGGAAGCGAGCAGTAATTAAAAGGAGGGAGAAGGAGGTAGTAAATAAGGAGGAGAGGTGAATTTACCCATTAAAAGATTGTATAAAGGACCCTAATCTACGTAGAGTATAGCCGGGCAATAATTAGAAGAATCTCTTAATTATAAAGTAAGAGGCTCAATTAAGCTTTATAGAGCCTTACAAAGCCGTATAGAACTTCAATACTACGTAAATATTACTAAGATTATTACTTTTCCGTATTTAATACTAGAAAACATCGCTAGATAACTTAGCGCACCCTTTTAACTTAGCGTACCCTTCTAACTTGGCGCACTATAATATTTAAAAATATTAAAAATACTAGAATTTCTATAGGAAAACGACGTGTAATTATGATAGCTGACATATGGTGCGCGAAGTAAAAAATGGTGCATGAGGACATTGACTACGATGCGGTAAGTTAAGCTCCAATAAAATGTAATTGCGATGCAAGCTTTTTTTTTTCTCTGGACCTTTTGGCTTGTGTGACACACCAAAACTCAGTTTCAAAATCATGAATGGATAAAAAAGAAGAGTATCATAACCTAAGCTACAATGAAAAGAAGAAGAAAACCCAATAAAGTCTTGGTGGTATCAATCAAAAAAGCTCACAACTTTCTCCCAATCTAATAACAAAAACAAACAACAATGTTTCTCCTTTAGATACCGTTTGTCCGTCCGTCCATCCATCCATGCATTCAAATGCAAAGCGAAAGACTGTAGAGAGTAGGTAACCCAAGCCAGCCAGCCGGCTAGATAGATATTCAATGCATGCCATGCCATGCCATGCTATGCTCTCCTTCCCTCCCTGTCGTAGAAACTTCCCCCCTCCCAAACCTTCCCTGATACTCTCCACTCTTTCGACTCTCACTTCTTCACCCCTGACCCCTCTCCTCTCCCGCACCCCTCCTTACTGAGTCCGATAAAACTTCTTATACAACAAATGCAACAACAAATTAACATTCAACCTCAGCTGCCCCTCAAACAAATTCATAAACTGATGCGCCTCAAACTGCGCCTGCAGCAAGTCCTCAATGGGGACCAAGGCGCTGGCGCCCGGCATCTGGATGTGGCCCCGACTACCCTCAAGACTAAAAATGCCGACCTCGTCGCACGAGATGGTGATGTTGATCTGGCCCCAGTCGCGCTCGGGGATGCCCGTCCACGAGACGAGCACGCCCTTGTCCGAGAGGGCGCGGGCCGAGTACTTGAAGGAGCCGAACTTGGGGACGCGGCCGGAGCGCTCGAGCTCGCGCTGGTGGTTGTATTGCTTGGTGAAGGGGAGGAGGAAACGTTTCTTGCTGTTGTGGGGGGTTGTGGTTAGCTTATTTGAGACAAGGAAAAATGGAAGATGATGGTGGTGATGATGATGATGTACGTACCCCTTCTTGTTCTGCAGCGTGGCCATGGCCTGCTCGATATAGTCATCGTAGCTCTTGCGCTGTTGCTCCAGATACTTTGCCTTCTCGTGCAGATTGCCGAGTGTCTGACGGACACCCTCGAGTTCTCTCTGTCTCTGGACCCTTCTCCTGCTCTTGGTGCGGATATCCAGCGCAATGGCGTTAAGAATATCCTGATAATAGTTTTGCTTGGAGATGCGACCCATCTGCTCCAACCTGAGAATGTTCTCGAGCGCTGTCCTCTTCAGGTCGTAGTAACTCATGCGCGTAACATCAATCATGTTCGCCTCCGAATAAGCACCCTTGGTGTTCGAGTTGTCGCCAAAGTCTTCGCGCAGGACCGTCCTCCACTTCTGTTCATCTTCCGGAGTGATTGGCTTGACAAGAATCTCAAGCAAGTTGTTACCCGTTTGCACTCGGATGATGTACAGAATGCACCTTTTGGTCTCCATAAACAGACCCTTAGTCTCAGCCTCTGGATCCTCCATATCGTGCAGTTTGGGAGTAAGGAACAGCTGGATATCAGCAGACCCGCCCGCGGTCATTTCATTCTCGTTATTCTTGGCGTTACCGAGATCTTGGATGATCTCGCGCAGCATATCATCTCTGTTCGGGCACAGATAAGGCAACTCGGCAGCGATGAGATTGTGAATGGAAAAGATATCAGCCATCTTGATGTATAGTGTTGGCTTGTTCTTGGCGTAGAGATCATTGAACTCGTCAATATCGAACGTCTTCTCAGCGTCAGGTACATCAATAAGGGAATTGGTGATGTGAGCCAAGCGCTCGATTGATTCGGCGACGAAAACATTGAGAGGCTGGAGATAGATGTTCTCTCCGCCAAATGGTCTCCCTGATGCAATCTGGCCCAAAACCTTTGCAACCTCGCCGAGGTTACGCTTCTGGAGAGGACTCATTTGCTTCTCCGTGACTCCATATGACTCTGGACCGACGAGGGCAGGTTGGAGGTAGAAGCGCCAGAGCCAGTTGCTTACAAGCTGGAGCAGATTTTGCGGATGATCCCTCTGGAAATGCTGGCAGAGGGCTTCGTACGTTTGCCGACATACAAATCTCAAGCCATATGGCATGCGAGGCAGCAGGTCCTCCAGGGCAAGAAGAAACTGGTCGCAGATCTCTCGGAGATCACGCAAATGATCGATGAAGAGCTCTCTTGTTTCGGGATCCTTGATGGCAACTTCACGAGGAACATCGAGCGGTCTTTGGCTGGGCCGACCGGTCCTCAACTCCTCATTGTTGATAGCAGACCGGTAGATCTGCATAGGGTCGCTTTCGAGATCCAGCGCGGGATCCTCAATGATGTTGTCTCTGATGAGGGGTCCCAGGAGATCCCTGAGATACTTTCTATCGCGAGGGGATCGAGTGTAGTTCTGGAGCAGCTTGGTCCAGAAGAAGTTGCCCCTCAGATAATCCTGCAAAGCGGCGCAGGCCTCAACCTCTTCCCGTATCGACCTGGAAATAAGCTTCAACAAGTAATATTCTTCTCTCCGCTTTTGCGCATAGCCAAACAGCCCCATCATCAAGTGTTCGATCCGCTTTGACTCCTTTTCCGTTGTCCCCTGTTCGCGGATACGCCTGAAGAGCTTGGCAAGGTACTGGGGTTGCGTCTGGAGAGTGAAGAACAGCTGTTGGTAAGACTCGAGCTTCTTACGAGAACTCTTGTTCAAAGCCTTAAGGTCGAACTGGTTGGCATTCGAAATGACACTGTTGGCGAGAAGGTTGTTTGCGTGTCCACCATAGTTGTGCTGATGTCTGACAACTTCATCGAGGGTGATCTTGTTTTTGACGAGAAGGGCAATCTTGATGTCTAACTGGTCAATGTACTGCTCCAGCATCTCGTTTTGTCGAACCTGCCCGACCACGGTCTTCCGGAGCCGCTCGAATTCTACTTCTTCGTTGAAATCAAAGTCGCTGTCGTTCAGAAGATGGACGAAGTTCTTGACGGCGTTGACGGGTGGATTCTTCCCAGATGTCAAACTCTTGTAGGCTTCACCCTGAAGCTTAGCTCGCACGAAACTCTGAATCTTGACGACCTTTTGCATGTTCTCCCGGAAGAAGCGCTTCTTCTCCTCATACTTGGCTCTGACAACAAAAGCCTTGGCAGCAGCCTGGAACGCCGCCACAGACTCCTCGTTCTGTTCCAGTTCATCCAAGATCATTGCAACATCGCTCCGGAGCAACATTGCCCGAGCAAGGGCTTGCAGTTCGGTGATCTCCTCGGTATTGACTGCGAGCTCATCCAACAATTCGCCACACTCCTTTCGATAAAGACATCCACGGATATGTGCTTGAAGGTCGATGATGCTCGGTGTCTCCTGGGTAAGAGCATCCAGGTCGTCCGATAACCTCAAACGCTCAAGCATACCTCGTATCATAGACTGAAGATCAATGATGGCATCCTCCGTTTCCCCAATGCTTTCGAGCTGCTCTGATATCTCCCTCCGCACTGCCGCTGCCCTGATGTGAGACTGAAGAAGGCCCAGCTCAGTTGAATGCTTCTGCAACTCTTCCTTGGTAGCATCGACGTCGGACCTAGCAACCTTGCCGCGGAAGGCAGCTTGAATGGCTGTCCACTGTGGCGCAAAGCCTTCAAGGGCTTGTTTCTGGGCATCGACGTCGGACCTAGCAACCTTGGCGCGGAAGGCAGCTTGGATGGCTGTCCATTGTGGCGCAAAGCCTTCAAGGGCTTGTTTCTGGGCATCGACGTCGGACCTAGCAACCTTGGCGCGGAAGGCAGCTTGGATGGCTGTCCATTGTGGCGCAAAGCCTTCAAGGGCTTGTTTCTGGGCATCGACCTCAGTCCTCGCCTGCATGGCCCTTACAGCAGCCTGAAGACTAGTGATGGCTTCGGTGTTGCTCTCCAAGGATGCTCTCTCTTCCTCCAGATTCTTCCTCAAAATCAGACCACGGACCGCACTTTGAAGTTGAGCGATCGTAGCGCCTTCGCTCTCGGTCTTTTCATGTTGCACGGCGAGCTGCTTCCGGGCCAGAAATCCTCGAAATGTCGCTTGAATGTCTCGCAGGGGTCCCTCTGCCGTCTCCAACTGAGAATGCTGCTCTCGAATCACGTTGCGAACCTTGGCCGCTCTGACCATACTCTGGAGTTTCAAGACGACATCCTCGTTGCCCTTAAACTGCTCCTCGGTTTGTGTCCGCTGGCGACGAGCAAGGTATCCACGCGCCGCTTTCTGTAGCTGAATCGTGAAACATGTCTGCGCATATTGGTGACGAGCAATAAAGCCACGTGCTGTCTTTTGCAACTTGATCGCGAAGCTTGTTTGCGCCTCTGTTTCCGCATGTCGATGACGGGCGAGGAAACCACGCGCTGCGCTCTGAAGTTGGACCGCAAAGTTCTTCATCTGGAGCCTGTAATCCAGCACCTGGCGAGCCCAATCACCACGAATACGAGACTGGAGATCAATAATCCAGTCTTCGGTATCCCACAGGTGTTGCATAGTGTAACCAAGCTGTATCCTAAGAAGCGCCGCTCTGGCCTGGGCTTGCAACTCCACAATAGCCTCTTCGTTTTCGGCCAGTTCCCTCTCAATGCGTTCCTCCTCTGTCTCCTCGGGCTCAGCTGGCTCAATTCCAAAATCGGCACCCATATTGCCGAAGCTAGGCATACTAGCCCCCAGCTTATCGAGGCCTTTCTGCATTGCCTCCAGCTCATGGTCTTCGAACTGAAGTTGACCGACCAAGTTCCCGATGCGGAAATCGACAATTCCTTTACGGAAGAGGAGCCAACTCAACGCATGGAGACAGTAAATAACTTTCGGGATGTTCTTTTTCTCGTACAAGTCGATAAGCTCAAATCGGAAGAGGTCGGGGAGTTCGACTTCATCAAGGTAACGGAAGAAGATGGCGATATTGTCTGAATGGCGGTATTGAAGCTTGGGATGGTGGAAAATGCGGAACTTCTTTTCAGGGTTAAGGGATTCGACCACTTCAGCCAAAGTAACTCCATCTCGCAAAGCTTCCTCTAATTCGATAATCGGGGGAATCGGACGCTGTATGATATCCTCAATCCATTCCTTCGCTTCACCAATGTGGCAAAGGTACTCATAAGCCTGTAGAAACTGTCGTTGCTTGTCCATCCACTTCGTCTCCCAACCAAAGCCGCCGTTCTTTTGACGCGCCGTTACAGACTTGTCAGCTCTTTGCAACCTACGGCGTCCGCGGAGACCAACAACTTCCTGCGACGGAGATATGATGGCAAGCTCTCCCGCCGTTCCATCTTGTGCGAACTGGGAAAGCGTTCGGAGCTGACTTGTCGATGAACGACCTAACTTTTCCAGATCCGGACGAGCGAGGGCAATGGGACTCGCGTGTGCGTGCACCAGAGCCATTGATCCATTGTCACTTCCACCGCGCACAGAATCTGATCTGGATAGGAACATGGAAGCCGGCCTTCGCGTCGAAGGGGTCGTTGGAGAAGTCACCGGAGGCGATGTCACGGTCGGAGACATGCCCGTCATGGTGCGTGTGTTATCGCTGATCGATAATTTGCCGATATCGATACTATGGCCGCGCTCGTGCAGGACACCCGTGGGCGATATCCGTGGGCGCTCAGTCGCCGAGGACTTGCTGACATCGAAACTCGAGCCACGTTCATGGAGGGCACCTGTGGGTGATATCCGCGGGCGTTCTATTACCGAAGTCTTTCCTGCGTCGAAACTCGAAATACGTTCGTGGATGGTGCCCGTGGGTGATATCCGTGGGCGCTCAGTCGCCGAAGGCTTTCCGTTGTCGAGACTCTGGCCGCGTTCGCGATGGCTAGTTGAGGTCCCATACTCGCCGATGGAGAGCCTGCTGATGTCGACACTTTTTCCACGTTCGTGGTGGCCTGGTGTGGGCGTTCGCGGCGCACTTCTCGAACCCGTACTCGATATGCTGCTGCTGGCGGGCGCTGTTCCCGTAGAGGCTTGAGACGTCGGTCGGAGAGACTGGCGGGCATTCTTGTAGATATTATCGCTTGTCGGCGTGAGTGGAAGAGTGTGGGAGCCACCAGACAGGCTTGAAGATAGCCGGCTCGCCTCGCTTTGGCCTCGTTTGTGTCCATACTGGGAGTAAACGCTGGTTGCGGTAGACAAGGAGCTGATGGGCCGACTGATATCCGACTGTCCTATGGAAGAGGCCGAGTACCCCGATGACGATGTTGATGTGGTGGAGGATTGTCTATTAACCGAGTAGTCGGCGGTCTGTGTCTGACGAAGGGGGTGTGGTTTGTACGACGACATCTTGGGCAAATTGTCGAGGCTACCGGACGGAGAGGAGTTTGGACGTGGGACTCGTTTCGTAGAGACCGAGGGCCGCCGGCCACATCAGAGCGAGCGGCTTTGCGATGCGGTTGCGCAGATCGTCCCTCGTCTTGCAGTGAGTGTGGAGCAGGCCGAAGATCAGGTTCGAGTTGGGTGCCAAGCGGGTGGTCGGGGGGAACGACTCGACGGTTGTTTACTATCGCCTTGTCAGAACGAGTATATACGGGGGGCGGGAAACGCGTAGGCTGGATCGGGGCATGCGTACGGGACGAATAGTGAGGGCGATGATGTATTAAAACTTAAAACTTAACCAACAAGTTATGGAGTGGTGGACGATAGCAGTTGGCAGTTGGCGGACATGGCGCGCGGGCGCTTAACCGGCTCAGATCTCTCTCTTCGCTCGTGGGTCGAGTTCGGAAATGGAAGGTTGACTGCGCACAGCGCACGTGAAGGGATACCTCTAGGGAAAATGCACACCTGGGAAACAAAATGCGATGATCAAGGCACTATGATGGGAATAGCTTCATTCCGTCTGCTCTCCTGCACCAAAACAAAAACAGCAACCAGGACTTTGGGAAATGCAATGGCAAGCAAGGCAAGGCGAGGCGGCTTTGGCGGGCTGTAGGCTCTTGGAGAAGACGGACATGGGGGGTGCCCAGTGACTTGCAGTGCCCTCCGCTTGTGCTTGGAAGAAGAAAGTGAGCGGTTGGGAAATGGAGGGGAACACGAGATTTGCGGCGGCCGGCAGTGGTTGGCTGCCTGTCGTGGACGGTGGTTGCCCTGTTGTCCACTTGCCCTGCAGCTGCTGCCCATTTGTTTACTATCCCATGTGCCTGCCCGCCCTGTGCCGCCCTAGCAACCAGAGACGGGACGAAAGTTGAGCTCGAGCCAATTCCTCCCTCCCGAGCTCCATCCTCTTGGCGGGTGACCTCATCCCGCTGCCGGTCCTACAAAAGGCCGCAAGGGCCGAATGGGCACCTGTAAACTTGAAACTTTCGTTCCTGCCGCACGGACGACGGCTTGTTGTAAGTTTGTAACAAGCACAATGCCGCATAACGGAGCCAGGTCCGCCGGGTCCACCATGGTCGGAACATCGAGTCTTTCATTGTTTCTGAACAGAACCGGAGGCTGGCAGTCACTCAGGTACTTGTAGGTAGACAGTCCACAGTCAGCGAGGCAGCCAACTCGCATGACTCAACTTCACCTGTTGCCTCCCGGTCCGCTGAAGCGAAGGATGATCGGAGAGATCAACGGAGGTCTTCCCGACTTCGCAGACTGCAATTGAGGAATTCCTCTGCAAAACAGACAGCAATCGGAGTGACATGAGATGACTGATAAGAGATGAAATGTAAAATCGGCGGTGCTCCTCCACAGCGCCAGACTGAAATGCAAAGTCCGGTCTTAACTAAAACGTAGGCTAATTCCCACTGCCCAATGATAGTGACATGGAGTCACACTAAACCCCACCTGCGACCCCCCTTCAAACCACCCACCGCCCGGCAGAAAGCCCCCGCGGTCGGGGGCTTCGGAGTCTGGACCATAAAAAAAAATTTCGAAGGCAAACTCCCAGGTCTTTTCTTTTCCTCTTCGTCTTCTTGGGGGGGGAAAAGTCGGCCGATCCAACCAGTACATACCCATCGCTGGCTTCCCCCCAAAGAATCAACCCTTTGTTTTTATATACCTTACTTGCCCTTACATCATTTTGCCCTTCTCATCTTCATTGATTGCAGAAAATGGCAGTAAACGGCACCAACACCTTCCTTGACCACACCTCCGCCATGGAGGTCCTCAAGGAATATGAGCGTCGCGATGGCCTCGGCATCCGCGACCTCATGGACTCCAAGGCTCAGGGCGGTCTCACCTACAATGATTTCCTGATCCTTCCGGGTTACATTGGCTTCCCTGCCTCGGCCGTCACCCTCGATTCGCCCATCACCAAGCGCATCACCCTCAAGATCCCCTTGGTTTCCTCTCCCATGGATACCGTCACCGAGCACGAGATGGCTATTCACATGGCTCTCCAGGGCGGTGTCGGTGTCATCCACCACAACTGCTCTGCCGACGAGCAGGCCGACATGGTCCGCAAGGTCAAGCGTTACGAGAACGGTTTCATTCTCGACCCCGTCGTCATCACCCGCGACACCACTGTCGGCGAGGCCAAGGCCTTGAAGGAGAAGTGGGGTTTCGGTGGTTTCCCTGTCACTGGTAAGACTCCATTCCCACTGCTTTCTGTTCGCTGCCTTCTCCTGGTCTACCTGATGATAAACCTATAAATCATAACTTTCGTTCCACCATATCGACCTATGTGTCATGAGGAAACAAATACACTGAAAATCCTGATCCGACCTTTCTTTTTCACACCTTTTGGAGCACAACTCGTACCCTCGCTTCTGGGAGCTCGTGCTGACTTTGCTTCACATAGAATCCGGCAAGCTTGGCTCCAAGCTCCTTGGCATTGTCACCAACCGCGACATCCAGTTCGAGACTGACCTTGACAAGCCCGTTTCGGAGGTCATGGTTACGGACCTGATCACCGCTACCGCTGGTGTCACTCTTCTCGAGGCCAACAAGATCCTTGCCCAGTCCAAGAAGGGCAAGCTCCCCATTGTTGACAAGGAGGGCAACCTTGTCTCCATGATCTCCCGCTCCGATCTCACCAAGAACCTTCACTTCCCCCTTGCCTCCAAGACCAAGGACTCTAAGCAGCTCATCTGCGCCGCTGCTATCGGTACCCGTCCCGAGGACAAGGACCGCCTTGCCAAGCTCGTCGACGCTGGCCTCGATATTGTTATCCTGGACAGCTCTCAGGGTAACTCCATGTACCAGATCGAGATGATTAAGTGGATCAAGCAGGAGTTCCCTGATCTCGATGTCATCGGCGGTAACGTCGTTACCCGCGAGCAGGCTGCTGCTTTGATCGCTGCTGGTGTCGACGGTCTCCGTATCGGTATGGGCAGCGGTTCCGCCTGCATTACCCAGGAGGTCATGGCTGTTGGCCGTCCTCAGGCTACTGCTGTCTACAACGTTTCCTCTTTCGCCGCTCGCTTCGGTGTTCCCTGCATCGCCGATGGCGGTATCCAGAACGTTGGTCACATCGTCAAGGGTCTCGCTCTCGGTGCCTCCACCGTCATGATGGGTGGTCTCCTTGCCGGTACCACCGAGTCTCCCGGTACCTCTTTCGTCTCCCGTGAGGGTAAGCTCGTCAAGGCTTACCGCGGCATGGGCTCCATCGACGCCATGCAGGACAAGAAGGCCGGTGGTGGTGGCAAGGACGCCCAGAAGAGCAACGCTGGTACTGCTCGTTACTTCTCCGAGGGTGACAGCATCCTCGTTGCCCAGGGTGTCTCTGGCGCTGTCGCTCACAGAGGATCTATCAACAAGTTCGTCCCCTATCTTGCTGCTGGGTTGAAACACTCTCTGCAGGATTCCGGCATGACCAGCCTCCAGGAGCTCCACGAGTGTGTCGAGAACGGCACTGTTCGTTTCGAGATCCGTACTGCTAGCGCCCAGCTGGAAGGCGGCGTTAACATGGAGTCTTATGAGAAGAAGCTTTACGCCTAAACGCTTTGGCTTTTCTTGAATGGTCGGTAGATTTTGATGATTGGTTTTCAAAAGGGGTAATGCGGGTTGCAATGGAGTTCGGTGGCGATATTATGGGATTGTTGAATGGGAACTTTTAGAGATCACACGATATCAAGATGTTGTGCGATATGGAACGCAGATATAATCAGCCTGCAAAAGAGAAGGCTTGAGCACGTCGATAGGCGACGTTGCCCGGAATCAAAAAGAACTTGTTGATGGATCACACCAATTTTGCTCGTCTCCTGAATTATTCCTGTGCTCGTTTGTGTGTGTGTGTTTGTGGGTTCGTGTATTGACGCACTCCCGTATGTGATCGACATCCACCTCTTGATCCTGTCTGTGATCGTCAGTTGTTGCCGTTCATCTTGTGCAATATGGCTGTACCTATGGTCATGATATTCGCTACTTTTGCCTGCGGCATGATTATTGTGTGATGTTCATGATTCGCGCTGTTCTCCGTACTCCAGCTTGTCCAATGAGTCCGAAAGGCGATCCGGGCGCACACGAGTATGGAGATAGAAAGAATACCAAACTGACAATTCTGACGTGAATCGTCCCATTGCAAAGGTCCCTCTCCCATTGCGGAATACACCAAGAGGCGGGACAGTACTTTTTGACTGGCAGTTTTCAGCACAGCTTGAAAAATCCTCAAATGCTAATTCTGGTGGTGTGAGAGACATCCAAGTGTTAAGCAGACCAAGTCTATTCTCGTGTCTTTCTTTGACACTGCCTTTTTCTGCTTCTGGGTATGAAGCTGTCTGTTGGCATCTATCCATCTTTGTCCGTCATATCTTCATGAGCTATTCCTTTTGTTCTCGGTCATGTACAATGGAATGTCTTTCAACTCTTGACACCTCATCCCTTCTCCTTTTCTCCTTTTTCTCTATCCGTATTTCCCAAGAGCCATGAACTTAATTAAGTCCTGACTTTCTCGCAACTCCACCCCATCTTTTATGTAAGAACATCACATCTACTTCTGAAGCGCACTCTCCGGAAGCGTAGCAACCTTCTCATCAAACAACTTCTTCGCCCTCGCCCAAACAGGCGAGTTCTGCCAGTCATTGAGCGTAAGCAACGAGGGCAGCAGATCATGGCTGAAGGCCTCGGAAGCCTCGCGCGGCAAAAGCGAGGGGAGGTGGTCGATGGAAATAACGGAGAGAGGAGGACCCGACGCAAGACCGTCGACGGGAACCGTGGGCTTGTCGAAGGTCGTGGCCACCGTGTAGATGGGCACGGGGGTGAAGGGCGAGGTGGTGTCGGCGGAGACGTCGCAGACTACGCGGAGCTGGCGGTCGGGGATCTGGAGGGACTCCATGTTCACTGGTACTTTTGTTAGTGAGGGTGCTCTCGGTTTTTGTTTGGGGGGGAAGGGTTATTTTGCTGAGGGCTGGAATGTGTGAATGTGGGCCAGGCTCAGGGGAACCTTGTTGAGGTGGGTGACTGAGACCGGCTTTCCGGCTTTGCAGTGACTCAACTCAGTTGAGGAAAGGGGGAAGGAAGGGGGAAAAACACATACCGAAGTTGGGAATCTTGCTGGTGAGGTAGATGCAGTTGACAAAGATGTCGCTGTCTGTGATCTCCTCTGTGATGGTAGTCAGTATCTGTTTTTTTTTTTTTCCCACGATGAGTCGTATGGTAGTGGTGCAGGTTTAAAACATACTGAAAGGACCGCCCTTGGCAGTCTCGGCCATATCCCAGTCGAGAATGTTCTCGTCGGGGATGCCGGCCTTCTTGAGAGCGCTGACGGCACCGGAGCCGCAACGGCCACGGGCACCAATAACGATCACACGGGGCAGACGGCCGGCCTTCTCAACACCCTCCTTGACAGCCTTCTGGACGTCGGCGATCAGAGCATCCTCGTTGGGGTAGCTCTCAACGCCGGGGAAGGGCTCGCTGTGGTTGAGCTGCCAGGCCCACACCTCGAGGGCAAGAGCGGCACCGGCGAAACCGGCGTGGAAGCCGAAAGCAGCCACACGGCGACCGTGCTCGTCAACCAAGAACTCGAGGTCAAGAAGAGTGCCGTCACCGCGGGGGTATCTGGCAAGAACGGTCTCCCAACCGGCTTGCTGCTTGTCTGTTTTTGTTGTCTCGAATCAGCAAGGATTCTCCTGGTCAGAGAAAATTCTGAGCTGAGCTGGAAACTTACAGCAGTGGGCGAACGAAACATGAACGTGCTTGAGAGGGAAGTCCTTCTCCTCCAACTCCTTCAGGCCAACAATGATGTGCTCCTTGGGAGCATCGACCCAGCTGTGCTCAGGCACCAGGGTGGCGCCAACCTTCTCAAACTCCTCATCGTCGAAAATTCTCTCTGGGGAGCGCTCGACGTTGACGATGTAGCCGGCCTTGATGAGCTCGGCGGTGGTAGCGGGGGTGAGCGCAGACCGGTGCTCGAGGTGCTTGGTCTCGCTGCGGAGGTGAAGGACGGTAGGGGCCATTTTTGTGAAAGGGAATTGGGGTATCTTGGATAACGTTGGGTTGAGGAAAACTATCGAGTGAGAAATATGATGAAAATGGACTACTTGGTGGTTTGTTTTATACGGGCCAGGGCGAGATCGGATATGGCTCTGCGGGATGGGCTGCCAGGGTTGATTGAGTCACGAGAAACACGGGAAAACAGGGTCCGCCTGGGCTGGCAGAACGGGGAGCGACGGGAAGTGCCCCTGGAACCGTAAGCGTTGAGATGGCCCCATATTATTTTGACTGTGCATTTTTGAAGAGCCTGAGAGGTACAAATATGATGTCTTATGACCCTACTCATGTTCATGGTTGATGCTCTTCTTCGGTTGTTGTTTTAAATTTTTGAATATCTCACGGAATCGAACCTGCTATCAAAGCGACTCCCGTCATCAGCTTGAATATTGCCAGCTCTTCGTCATGGAGTGGATGGCGGAGCGGATACAAATTTGTCGGGACTTAGGTACCTGCCTGTTCGGGGCGACGTGGTGAATGTCGAATCCCGTCCATTGAATTGTGCTGACCAATTGGGATTGTGGGGTTTGGGCAACTGTTAGTGTGAAGACAGCGAAGCTGGCCAATATCTTAACACTTTGCTGTCACGACTTTCGCAATTCCGTCGGACCAGCACCCGGCCGACCAACCCTTTCTGGGCTTGCCTTGCGATGTTTGTTTGCACCAGCACTCTGGACGGGAGTCTGGACAACCCAAGATTTTCGAGATTTCGGGGACCTGGAAAAGCCTGGCTCGCTGGACCCAAAGATGGATTCCGCTGGCAGCCAGCCGAGTCGTCCATGGATGTCTCATGTGCGGGCCAGCGTGTCCAACGGAGTTTGTTCCTTCCCTTGTGTCGCCGGTCTCCTCCGGGCATTCGCCGAGCCGCCAGGCATGGCCTGCTCTGCCTGCCAACAACTGCTGCCCCCCGGGCCCGAGGACCCCCGTTCCATCCACTCCCGCCACCTCAGCATCGCTAGACTACTGGATTCACTAGTATGGAGGAGCGGCCCGGTTGCACGACAGGATCGCCGCCAGTTTTCACCAGGAGAACACCAACTTGAACCACTCATGGATGGCGAATCCCATCGGCAGTCGGAGCAAAGTCCGAACTGGCCATCATGAAATTCTGCCTTTGCTCGCGGCTTTGTTAGGGGTCGCGGACTCGCGGTGCTATCCGTCCAGTGCCTTCCCTCCAAGACTACCTTCCCTTGTAGATCGGCCATCCTGCGCATCATTTGCGGCGTTGGAATTCTCTCCTGTATACTTCCTCGATATACTACCGACTACCTATACCTTACCCTCTTACCTCCTTGCACTTTGTTCACACTGAGGCACGCTCTACACAGTCGAACACTGTAGGATTCTACCGCACCGTGGCCTGGCCGGAAAAGACGCGGAAGGAGCCAACGAAGGCTACCTAAGCTCTCTCTGCGACCTCGGGACCTCTGGGTATCATCAACTGACATTAGCACACTTCACACCTCACCACCCGAGTCACACACTCACAATCACACTTGAACTCACCACGAACCCCGACTACAACCACTCACCAAACCCGGACTCTGACCCGACCGACATTCGTTGATGATGAAGTTTTACTCGTCTGGCCCGTCCTCTTCTTGATAGCAGCCGCTCATTCCACCGTCCTTCGTTATCCCAATCCGGAACTCAACAGATTTCCCGAACATGAGGACACCCGAGCCCACACAGGGTGGTTCCTCTTCACCAGACGATCTCATTTCTGCTCTCACCAACTCGGGATTACTGCGGCGTTTGTTACCAGTCGGGTCGGAAGAGGCTCCTTCACGACCCATAGCTCCCGCCAGATCGTCCGCCTCGGCCTCACCTCGTAGTACTATTACCGACCGAACTACACTCACCAAAACCCAGGCTCGGTCCGCTGTCCCTACCGGTCGGTCAAAGAGACAGGCAACCACTGCCGCCTGTGGTGCATGTCGGAGGCGCAAGTCCAAGGTGTGTTGAGACCCAGGACGCTGTGTGTACATTTCTAGTGGTCACTAGCTCACCTTTCCCTTTTCGTACAGTGCAACGGCGAGCGTCCAAACTGCTCCGCCTGTCATGACCGCGGCACTGACTGTGAGTATGACACCAATGTGGCCGAGACCCATGCTCAAGCTCTCAAGCGCAAGTATGATGAGCTCCAAAATTCAAAATCGGCTGCCGAGAAAGTCTTTGAAATCCTCCAGACGAGGGACGAAAAGGAGGCCGAAGAGGTCTTCCAGCGCATCCGGAGAGGTGCTGATCCCGCCACCATCCTGCGCCATATAACCTTTGGCAATGCTCTCATCGAGCTTGCCTTGGGCCCCGAGACAGGGTATCGATATGAGTTTCCCTACTTGCCTGACATGCCTGCATTCTTGCAGCGTCACGACAACGTCTACCTCGATTCCGAAGTTTATGCTTGCGTCTTACGGAGGCCTGCCCCCGGTCTTCCTGCCGTGACACATCAACGTCTTTCCGGCTCTCAGCAACAACCTTATTTTACGCCCTCAACCGCAAGTCGAAGCATGAGCCCCTATTTGGCCCACGGTCCTGCCGTTGACTTACACAGCGATCCATATCATAAACCATATCACTCCGCCGCCGTGGAAAATTCACGATTAGAGAAACTGCAGCCATCTCAGTGGACCTCAGTGAGCACTGATGATGTCCTCATGCGAAAGTTTCTTCACGACTACATTCTATACGACTATGGTTGGCATTCTTTTCTTCATCTTGATTATTTTCTTGATGACATGGCGAACGGGCGTCATCGCTTTTGCTCAAGACTCCTCGTCAATGCAGTTCTCTGCATCGGATCAGTACGTATCCCCAAGTCCCAGTAACCTTCACTACTGACGGTTTTCTCAAGTATCATCATCGTGGGCTCCAAGGACGGGCAGAGTACTGGAATCCCGCAAACATTGTTTACATGTTCTTGGCAGAAGCCAAGAGGCTTTTTGAGATCGACTCGGAACTTGAAAGACCTATACCCTTGCCAAACGATCCACACGGAGAGCGAAGACTGAGGGAATGGGAAGAACGGCGGCTAACTACCATACAAGCCGGGCTTCTCCTAAACGTTCTCTATATTTTCAACGGTTCCGATAAGATCGGGTGGCGCTACTCTCTTCGGGCGATCGAGATGGCCCATGAAATCAATCTTTTCGGTCCTGCACAACCTGAAATGGACCGGGAGATGCGGAATGTCAAAGAGTTCACGGCTTGGGTAGTGTTTACATGGCAGAGGTATGTCTTACCAAGGATCTCGAACCACTTTATCGGCCGTGATTGCTCACAACCTTCTTAGTGTAATCTCATATCACTACTTCAGGGCCCCTATAATGAGGCATCCGCCTCAGGTGCCCCTACCGGATCCCATCGAGAATCCGCAGTGGTACGGTGAGATTTGGGTAAAATACCCCGGAAGTCAATCACGGTTTCCTACACATTTGGGATTCATGTTCAAGGCGAAAGCTGAACTTTGGACCATCATGAACGACTTCTCCCTCCTTTCGTTTCGTGATCACGGTCCCCCTTTGAATTTGTCGATCCCTCAGGTCCTCGAATTCTACAACAAGCTGATTAACTGGCTGCACAAACTACCCGAACCTCTTTCCCCGCGAAAGATTGTGACGCCTCACCAGATCAAGCTGCACCTGCACTTCTACTTCATCCTCATCAACATACTAAGGCCCATAGTCACGTCTGAATGGAGGAACGGGATACCGCCGGGTAAGACGATCCCGCCCTGTACGCCACACGACGCTTACCTAAATGCTACTGTTCGGTTCGAAACACTCATCCGCATTTACTACCTTCGCCACGGGTTCGAAGCCTTGGACAGCTTCCTGATGCAGTTCCTTGGCGCGCTCGCCTACATGACGATTGATGCCATCGCCCAAAACCCAGCGGCGCCCCATGTTGAGACGCTCCGATCAACGGTCCTTCTCGCAACAAAGGGCATGTGGGAACAGGCCCAGAGTCTCTACGTTGCCCGGGCGGTCTTACGTGTACTGGCAAGTGCGATGAGACCCGAAGACGTGCAACTGCTCAAAAAGTTTGCTAACGTCGAGGCCAACACGGATATATACTCTGCCCCTCTGGAGCAACCTGTTCAGTCGGATTGGCCTACGTATGTCGTCAGACTTGATCAGAATCCGGACACAGTGAGACTGGGCAAGACGCTTAGCAGCAAGCTGGAGCGGTTGTCTCTGGATCTCACCGCTTCGTCTCCCCCAGTGGAGTCCACACCACGGCCACGAAATTGGTCGGTCATTTTATAAAGAGGAAATCATTGTTGAGCATAGACAACAGTAAACGAAGTTGCCTATCAAGGAAACTAAAGACATAAAAGAAAATATTTCAAACGTTGCCAAGCCCGCCTCCTTTCGCCCACTAATATGATCGATTAGTGTCCGAGGTAGCTGGGGTAGCTCAAGGTAGCTGAGCTTACCTTCGGGAAGCTTGAACCCCTCTCTGTGATACCAACCAAGCTCCAATTCGGGCGTTCCTTGGCCTATGCTGGCGAATGGAAAGTGCTTCCTAAATGTTAGGAAGGGGCTGTGACCATTTCTCAACGGGTGTAGTATCATAACTGTTCAGCAACGTGCTCCATGGGGATAACACCCCGCCAAGATATTCAGCAAGACCGTGGCTCTGTAACGTTCAAAGCAGGACTCAACGTCAGTAAGTGGTACTTATCCCAAAGCAACAAGTTGTGTTTCTGGGATATCTGTGGTGCTACCCAGGGACCAATGGCGAGGCCCGCAGTCTAACCTCAGGACCGTGGGGTATTAACGTATCACTTCTACACCGGGCTTTGACAAACCAAACCCATCCGGAATCTACTGTGAGTACCTTTTCTGGCATCTTTACTGTTCGTTAGACATTTCCAAGAAGTCACATATGTGTGGGCAAGACGAGATGGAGTTGTGATACATCATCTCCCAGGTCGGCATCACTTCACAACCGGCAGTTGATACCTTGCCTCAACAATTCACAATTCCGCCAGTCGTCTATTACTGACCCCATCCTTGAGTTATCAGACGGTGCAACTATCATTCCGCTCATGCCAAAGTGGTACAATGCACGACGACTACACGGTCGTCATTTGGTTTTCCGTCTCGGCATGTTTCAAACCTACACGACTTACATACTTGCAGGTACACTGGTGGTCACTTCGTCTTAGGCAGACACGCCTCTGAGCACAAAGGTGTAGGCAGAAGTGTAGATCCGATATCAAGCACGGAGAACGGAATCTCATCGAGCAAAGCGGGAACCAATGGCAGATACATCTGGATCGTAGGATTGTCGACTCACATCTGCAGTCAGACAACTCCGCATGTAGGCTGTGTCACTTAGTGGCACAGTAGGACTTCACAGCCTTGCTTTGACGTTGATGTATAACCTCTTCCACTCCTATTTAAGAGGGATAACAACTTCGTTTCCTCACATGTTTTCTCCTCTATCCTAATTCCTACTCAGCCTACCTTTGTCTTCTTCCTGCCTTTCCGAGAAGAAGTCAACATGAGCGGGATTGTTCGAAGAAGAGTTGCTCCGATGGATGTATGTCTTACCTCGATCATGAACTCACAAAGATAACACAATGCTAACACTACACAGGCCGACGAAACAGGGTCGGTTGACAGCTTCGAGGCTGTTGGCTTCAAGGCCGTGAAGTATCAGCGGATTCCGGATGACGAGATGCCGGACATCCTCTACAGCGTCCAGTACTGCTCCAGCACTGGACGGCTTATGGAAAGTGAGTATTACCAAACCATCACATACCTCCAGGATATTTATCAACGACAAGAGCTAACAGACAATAGCACGGGAGAGCGCAAAGCCCTTAGATCCCAAGACATCCAACACCGGCCTCGAGGAGACATCCAAGCCCAGCCCAGTCATCGAAATCAGAACCACCGTCCACGCCAGATACGACGGCGGCGACTACTATGACGACCCACCCTATCCTCCCCCTGAGCCGTACTGGTCAGGCTCCGACAGCGACTGCAGCGACAACCTACCTCGTACGCGCCGCAACCGGGAGCCTCACGCTAAGGACCGCACCGAGATGGTCATCCACTCAGACCACCTCAAAGCCGCTCTGTCGGCGGTCGTCTCCTACTACCGCGAGTTCTCCCCCGAACACGGCATCATCAGAGCCCCCTACCAAGTCCTCGTCGACCACTGGAAGGAGCTCGAGCTGTACAAGCTCAACCAGCCCAGCTGTCACGACGCCGAGTACGCAGACACCACAACCAAACACATCGACGTGCTCCTCTCCTTTCTGAGAACCACCTTCTCCGAGCGCTTCGTGGCCGAGCGACTCCGCCAGGAGGACCCGCGCGGTCCCATGGCCACCTTTGACAACTTCTGGACCTTGCTAAAGCCCGGCACCGTCATCTACCGCGACCGCAACGGCACCCTGGTGCCGTACATCATCAGTCTCGTCCGTCTCGAGGGGCCCTACGACGCCCAAGGCAACGGCGAAGGTGATAACTCGTATTACCTCGAGTTCTGGAACATCCAGTACAGCCGCGGCCTGTTGCGCAGGCGCATGAAGTCGTGCACCATCTCGGCCTGGCGCGGCGAGCGACTGATTAACTCCTTGTCTGTCATCCCTGAGCGGTTTGTCACTGATGCTGCGAAAGTCGCCGCCGAGAATCTCAAGCTTGGTAGGCTCTACTGGGAGCTGGCGAAGCAGCCTTCGTATATGGAATATGATGGGCAAGTGACCAACGGCGACAGGGCGAGCGGCGGGAGGGGGTACAAGATGACGGGCCGCGTGGTTGTTGATTGCGAAGGATGGGAGCGATTTGGCGACGGAGGAGTTTTGCCGCATCTTCGTCGGCCGCGCCGTAACCGCGACAGCTTGAATCTGGATATCCTCCCGCAGGTGAAGTCCAAGTGCGCTTGCCCTGCTTGTTGCAACAACAACAAGTCTTACCCCCCCACCCAGAATGGCGGACAACGAAGCGACCCAAGCCCCTTCGTCAACTTCGACAAACTCAACCCCAAGACCGACTCCCTCCCCGACAACGCCTGGCTCTACTTGCACGTCCTCTCGCCCACCATCCCAGCCTTCATCCTCTCCGAGCGCCGCTGGGCATACATCCACCTCTCCGGTCTCGGTCCCGTCCGCCCCGACCTCGACGCATTCAAGTACCTCGTCTTGGACCCAGCCATCAAGTTAACCGTCAAGTCTTTGATCGGCAAATTCGCCGCTCCTTCTTCGGCCACAGAAACAACCCCCCCTCCAGCAGCAGGTAGAGAAAACATGCTCACCCCACAGACAGCCTCCTCCTCAGCCCTCACCCCCTGGCCCACCGACTTCGTCCGCAACAAAGGTCTCGGCCGCATCTTCCTCTTGCACGGCTCGCCCGGCGTGGGAAAGAGTTGCACAGCAGAATGCATTTCCGAACTCGCTCGCCGGCCCCTTTTGTCTCTCACCAGCGGGGACTTGTCAACATCCATGTCCTCCTCCTCCGTCGAGCGCCGCCTCTCCTACTTCCTCGAGCTAGGCGAGCGTTTCGGCGCTTTAGTCCTTTTGGACGAGGCCGATGTGTACCTGGAACGTCGCCGGACTCGGGACTTAAAGCGCAACGGGCTTGTTTCCGTGTTTTTAAGGGCATTGGAGTATTTCCGCGGAGTGTTGTTTTTGACGACGAACAGAGTAGCAGCCTTCGATGACGCTTTTACGTCTAGGATTCACGTGGCGCTGTATTACCCCGAGCTGGGGGAGGACGAACGAAGAAGAATTTGGGGGTATCAGTTTGAGAGGTTGGAACGTGAACCTTTTTCTTCTCACTCCTCTGCTGCTGCAGATGGGTCTGGGTCTGGGTCCGACGGCGGCAACCAAGTTGGTACTGACAAAAGGTTCAAGTTCTACATCCCCCAATCAACAAAGGAATACGCCTTCCACCACCCTGCCGTCCTGGCGCTCAAATGGAACGGGCGCGAAATCCGCAACGCTTTGCAAACGGCCGTGGCTTTGGCGGAAACGGAAGCGGCTGAGAGTCACCCCGGTTTTTCCAGCGGCGGCGGACTTTCGAGTGCGACGACGACGACGACCATTGCGTTGATGGATAAGCATTTGAAGGCCGTGGTGGGGATGAGTAGTGGGTTTAAGACGTTTATGGAGGGTGTCAAAAAGAAGAGGAAGGGGAAGGCGAAGGCGAAGGCGTTGTTGAGAGCGGGGGTTGATGTTGCTGATGATGATGATGATGATGATGATGATCACGACGACGAAAATGATGGGGAGTATGCGGATGAGGAAGATGGGGAGCACGACGGGGAGGGCGAGGAGGAGGAGAGCGATGATGATGAACATCCTGGTAAGATGCCAAAGCCTGTTTTTTTGCACCGTGTTGATGTCGAATCGAGATTGAATAGGTGGAATGAATGATGTTTGGCTGACTGGTGTTTTTTTTCTATTATTTTATTTTCTTTATAGGAAGCGGGTTTTCGTCAGCCTCCGAAAATGGGTATTAGAGAATGCCTTTTTGAGTTTAAATAGTTGGAAAGATGTTTGGCTGACTGGTGTGTTTTTTTTTTCTTATAGGAAGCGGGTATTCATCCAACGGCTCTGAATCAGGGTATTAGAGAATGAAGGCTGGTGATATACCTATCAAAGAGGCCGACGGGAAGCGGTGGAGGAATGAGTTTGACAATTAAGAGTGGGTAGAAGTTGATCTTTTCAGTCTTGGATAGCCTACGGGTAAGATCCATCTATAAGGGATACCTCAAGTAACGAGTTTGTCGTATTGTTAGACTCGCTGGTATTATGGTTCCCATCATGTTCTGCAGAATCTAAGGTATTCAAGTCATCGCGCCTAGCCCAAATAACAATGCTTTGCTCTTCCTACATTCCATCTATGCGTTACGTACTGTCTTCCAAGCGGATATTTCCGCAGATTACAGTCCAATATCTCGTACGCCTCGTAGTCATAATCGTGGAACCAACTCCGTAGTCATACACATTCGTAACATCCAAATCAATGCATAACACCCAAGCCCAGATAATAGTAGTAAGATCGAAACCTTAACATACTACTCAACAGCTTTACAACCCCAAGGCATTTGCCCTCGCCGTCGATGACGCACTCACATTGCTGGCATGAGCGAGCAAAAACTTGCAACAAGTCAGTGTCAACTTGCAAGCCTTTGCCCAGCTATCGTCCTGCTGAACGCCCAATTTGATAGAGACGTCCGATATCTTGTCACCCTGGATCTGATAAGGGAGACTAAGAGTATTACCCTCCCTCCGCGTCTGCTCTTGCACATGAACGCCCAGCTGGCGCACCAACTCGAGGAAGGCCACCATTGCGGTGTCAAACTTGCGGTGGATGAAGGTGAAGCCGAGAGGGAAATCACCGCTGGAGTAAAGTTCCAAGACGGTCCGCTTGGCGGGCGGCGGCGGGGCGTTGGCGTCGACGGGTCGGCTAGGGTAGAAAGACGATGCCATGGATGTCGAGGCAGGTTCGATGCGGACGATGCGTGATGTTGAGCCCATGGGCTGCGGTTCGTAGCCCTCGAAGCGGAAGTTGAGCTTCTCGGCGACGGTGACGAGCAGCAAGAGGGCGTGGCCCCATGCTGCGTTGATCTCGGGCCAGTCGACGGGGATGTTGTGCATGCGCCCGAGACGGAGGCCGTTGATGGTGGCAAAGGTGCCGTCGTGGCTGATGCAAAAGGTATCGTTGAAAACGTTACTTCGCTGGAGCTTCTCCAGCTGCCGGGAGTCATGGTCGAACTTGCTGTTGATGCTGTCCCGTTCGTTCTGGAAGTCGCTTAGAGTGGTGTTGAAGGCATTTCGGCCACGCCAGAACTCTTCCTCTTTGATGTCAACCTCCCGTATTTCTGACTCTAGCTCGAGCTTTTCCTTCTCCAGGGCGGCCTGTTCCTGCTCGAGGGCCTTTAGTTCTTCAAGCAACTCCTTTTCTGCCTGCTTCGCTTTGCGGGTGGCCTCCTCTTGTGCTCGAATCTCCTCGTCCGTGGGCTCGGAGGCTTTCAGCTCCTTGAGATAGTTTACATAGGCGTCCTTCTCCCGGTTGGCGGCTTCAAGCTTCTTCTGCATTTCCTCGACCAGCATGTCGGAGCACTCGATACATATTGGGTGGTCTATGTCGGATCGGGCACTAATGACCTCGAAAAGTTTGAAAATGCGCTCCATTTGGTCCGACAGATGGGCGTTGGCCATGTCGTCTTCTTCAGATGCTCCCACATTGTTGTTGCTGCTATATGTATCGGAGGATAAGTCTTGGGCTGATGAGCGGTTGTTCCTTTGGAGAGGCGATGCGTCGGACGACGCAATCTGAGATTCGGTGAGCAATACAAATGACATGGCTGGGTTGTCTCGTAGTGCGCCATCCCCTCCTCCTCCTCTGCCTGGCCCGGCATGCCTCTTGAACATGGGCTGATGCGACGACCGCAACGCCTTTTCATAGAGTGATCTCCTCTCGCGCTCATGGAGGGATCGGTGTGTCGTCGAGGATTCGGAGATAGAGGACAGCGCTTTCTTGGGCGTTTGTTGAGAGTGAGTGGCTAGACTGTGTCAGATATGGAGGAGCTCGAAATAGCCATGACGGGTTGTGGACAATGACAGATTCCGTACCCACGAGCAGATCATATGCTGCTGGATTCAAGTCCTCCAAGGAGCTGTCCAGCTTGAGGGGGGTGCGACACTTTTGGCAGTTCATGATGGGCAACGGTCGGTGATTCGTAGGAACATTCCTCTAAGTGGTAGTATGCTTCGATGTGGTTTGGTGATGTTGATGTTTCATTGTTGGATGCGGAAGCCAAGTCCAAGCCCGTTGATGTTGGAGGGGCAGGTACCTTGATAGCTAGGTGCCTATCAGTGGCCTATCAGCTGCTGACTACCAATTTATGTAGGGATCCTTGCAGCCTTATGACAGCGCGTCATTGTGGTGACAGTCCGCTGAATTTCCAGGGTCCGGATGTGTGTGCTACGCTACCAGGCCCAGCATCGCAAACGGAAGGATCGCTGTCGCAAAGTCGCAACCTCCATTTGCGACCCAAGTAATTTACGCGACAATACCTACTTTGTACGCGTCGGAACCTTCTTCTTGCCAACCACTGTTCCTGGTTCCAATATCCGATTCTCACGAAACCCTACCTCGACGCCAGATGGATCTCCGTCCAGTATCGAAATATCGGTAGTAGAGCTCCGAACTGCCCAAGCGCAAATCAACTTCTTCGACAGCTCGACTCGATGGAACGGCCGACCAAACGATCGCGAACAGGCCCTGCGCCCTTCGACGATGAAGAGGTTGTTGGCGACGAGCTCAACCACCAGCCCGAGGAGGTCAACCAGCTACGAGACCCCGGCTACCAACTCGAAAAAGCCCGATCCTTCGCTGCCTTCAAGTTAAAGTCAGCTTTCGAGAGCATCTTCGAAAAGTATGGGAAAGACTTTAATGGCGTTGGCGACGAAATCGATCTGAGAACTGGCGAAATTGTTGTCGATAACGGCCACATCAAGTCTCTGAAAACGGCGACAATTGGTGTCGAGAACGATGATGGCGACGAGTCTGAATCCGAGTCGGGAAACGAGGAAGAGACGATATCACACGGACAAGAAAGCAAACAGAATGCGACTGCGTTGCAAACCGTTCCGCGACCTCTGCCTTCCATGGCGCCGCCATCAACTTTCGGCGCGTTTGGTCCAGGTTACAACTCGTTTCCGGGAGGGCCTCCACAACTGTCTAATATGATGTATCCCGGCCAGACGCAATTCCAATCGTTCTCAATGCCGTTCAGTGCGTTCAGTTCTGCGAGCAATTCGATCGATCCCGCGTGGAGAGCACCCGACCTACCTCAACCGGTTCCCTGGGGAGGATTCTGGACTCCTGGCACCCAATCCAGGGTCAAGACAGTGGCCAAGGTGCAGCAACTCATTGCCGGGACTAATCGTGATCAGGAGGGTGAGGATGAGGATGACATTCTTCTAGATGTATCGACGACTGAAACCACCAAGGCGACTGAGAATACCTCGGTTATCACCAAGAAGCTGGCACCCTTTCGTCCTCCATCCAACGTCTCTTCCCCGGTCAATCGCCAGCCAAAGACATCCACGGCCACGTCGACCCCAAAGTCGACTGACAAGCTTGATACTGCGAAGGCAAATGGAGAGAAAAAGAAGACTCCCAAGAGGAAGACACCAGCGAAAAAGCCGCCAGCGAAAACGAAGCCTGTTGAAGAGCCTATCACTAGTCTAGTGGACGAAACAGGCATACAGACCGCTGGTTCTCCTGTAGTTGACGGCCCATCAGCAGACACTCAACCTGTTACTGATACACAGCCTGCTGTCGAGCAGACGCCAGTTGCTGAGAAGCCAGTAATCGAAGGTCAAGCCTCTGTTGTGAGAAATACTAAAGAGGTGAAAAGAAAAAGGACGCCAAATAGAAAGACACCAACAAGTAACAAAGCCTCTTTAGAGCAGAGCGATGATTTCTCGGGGGCGAGCCTCGTAAAATCTGCCCCTGTTCCCGCGGAGAAAGAGTCTGTTGCAGAGCTTGAATTTGAGACTCGTCCTATCGTCGAGCACGAACCTAGTGTTGAAAAGGGGTCTGACCAGTCTTCTGTTGAAAAGCCCAGGGTCGAGGCCCCTGTTGTCGAAGACCCTGCTGTTAGCACTGGTAAAAAGACATCGAAGAGGAAGACTCCAACGAGGAAGGTTTCGACAAGGGAACAAGATTGTCAGGAGCCAAGCACTAATCCATCGGCGAATGATAGCAACCGGTCCACGCTGGCGCCTACAGTTGAGCAGCCTTTAGTCGGGACTGAACTTGTTGAGATTCAATCCTCTTTGACAGTTCACAGTGGTCCCGGACAGCCCTATGTTCAAGAGACTATTGCAAGAGAACCAGTTGTGGAGGAGACTTCTATCGACGAAGGTCCCGTTGCCGAAATCGAGCCTCCTTCCGCTGGGGGCGATGGAGACCAGTCTGCAAGCATCTCAGCAACGGTCACTAAGTCAGTAAATCACGATCGTCCAGAGATACCGAATTCTACGGATTTAAGGACGGTGAGAAGGAAGAGGCGCCTCTCGAAGCGAGACCACTCTTCTCCAGCTGGGGCCAATGCCTCGAGATATGAACAGTCTCTCTTTAATGGAGAAACAAACGCGAATACCACCTTGAAATACTACAGCCCCAGCCGCGGCACACTTATCACAAAGCCAAGCAACCAGCAACTTTGGGTCGAGATACCAGTAGATGGTACCTTGGACCCTAAGACCTTCCAAGTTGTTGTCGATGACGATACTCTGATAGCAGAAGTTCCAGCACTGGAAGTAGGAAGAGAAACTACCAACATATTGGCAATAGAGGAAATGGCGAGGGATGGCGTTGCCAAACCTCAAGTTCCTGGCGGCCCCGAAACTCAAGCAGAGGCTGTCGAAGAACGAAGCCCCCCATCGAACGATCTGTCACATGAGGTCTTCACTAGGAACGTTGTCGACTCGGCATATGCCTTCTCTGACGAAGATGAGCCAGCCATACCAAAGGCGAGAGTTCGACGAACTGAGCCCATTCAACCCAACCCCAAGCCCAAAGCCGCGGAGAAATCTAACGTAAAGGAATTCGGGATACCGACACCAGCATCGTCATTTGACCGCAACAGCCAAACTACCGAGTCTCAAGCTACTTCACAAGCGGAAATACCGATGGATGAACTACCCGTCATTTCAGCAATTGTGTCCACAGAGACTGCTCGCCTAACGCAATCAGCAGACTCGGTTCTGCTTGACAAGACCAACACCGAAGAACTCCCTTCACTGCCCGAGCCTGTACAGGTTATCAAGCCTAGGCGGGGTAGGCCGGGAAGAAAACCCAAAACTCCGATAGACCTGAGCGAAACCATCTCACCAGTGGCAACGAGCACATCTGCCGTGACAGAAAAGCCATCCGAGCCGGCTCCCATCATCACCGCTTTAGCACCAACTCGGTCTAGGAGACAGAGTTTGAGGCTATCAAGGGGAAGGCGGGATTCAGATATCACCATTCCAGAGTCCATAACACCACACACGACGGTTAGGGCGTTACCGCAGGAAGACGATTCTATTGTTATTCAAGAGAGTCCACAAGGCACACCCGAACCCGAGGCCGAGCCTGTGGATGAGCCTGGAAGGCCAGCTAGCCCAACCTGGACTGCAACCATTCCCGCGTCTCCCAAGTTGGCAGAGACTTCAGCTCCTGATCAAGAGCTACCGGAGGACAGCCTGCTAGAGGAGGCAATAGCTCGTCAGCGATTCTGGTCTCCTAAGCCTGAATCAATCATTCTAGGCCACGAGCCATCACCACCGGGGCCACGAGCAGAGACAATCTTGGAGGTCGTGATCCCTTTTAAACGGATGCCACCCACCTCGGCTTCGCCTCCGCCACAGGAACAAGAACACATCACCAAAGAAATCCAACCCCAGCAGCAACCAGAACAACCAACAACCCCTCTGAAAACAAGGCCGAGAGGACGCCCAGCCTCTGCCACTTCCCTTCCCACGGCAACCATCACTACAACCGCCAAGGTCAAGACCAAAGCGGGCTCTGGCTCAGGCTCTGGCTCAAGGACGGGATCTGGATCAGGACCAAGCAGGAGAACAACCCGGACGCCCTCCACCACCACCACACGCACCACCACAGCCCCTACCACCTCCTCAAGAAAACGGACCCTCACCGGCACCCTTCTAAAACAAAGCCAAGTCCAGACCCCCGGGGGCACATCCAAATCCACCAAATCCACCAAATCCACCACCAAATCCCTCCTCGCCGGCGGCAACACCAGCATCCTCTCCCTCATCTCCTCCGACACGGACGACGAAGACGAACTCACTCTCGATTTTGGTGGCACCCCATCAGGCAACAACCCACTGAGGAGATCCGTCAGCACAACAACAACAACGAAAAAGACAGCAGCTACATCTACCACCCCTTCAGCTTTGCTCCTCCTCCGGACAACTCCATCCCGCAAACCTCCTTTTTCAGCTCAAGCTGGTGGACAGAAGAGAAAGACAACCAGCTTGGCGAAGATTGCTTCTTCTATTAGTGTTGGGAGATCAACAACGCCTGCTACTAGTCGTTCTGGTGGTGCTGTGACTCCTCCCACTGGCGGCGGTTCCGAGACAGGAGGAGACTTTGACTTTGTCGGGTCGGAAGTGATTCAGACGCCTGGCGGGACGCTGAGACGGTGTGGTGAGGCTGGGTTTAGGTGCGATAGGGATTTTTGCTTTGGGTGTTTGTAGGTGTGCGTGCGTGTGATTTATGTGTTTCTGTAGTGTGAGTGTGTGTGTGTGTTATTAGGGAGATAGATGTTGTTGCGGAAATGTGGGTGAAGGGTTTATTTCGGAGATGTTATGAATGGGTGGGGGAGTCTTCTCGATACTTCCTTCGGTCGCGGAATTAGGTCAAAGTAGAATTATGCAGTATGGTTAATGGGTATGATCAATATGGGGCATTGGAAGTGTGGTGTTTGTTTACTGGGAAAAGGAGTTGCGCACTCAAGTTACCTAGACAACTACATATCAGCCACTACTATATAGACCTAGCCGTGAAATGTGAACGTTGAAGGAGCTTCGAGGTGGTTTCTCCCGCACACATCTTAGAAACAAACTCCCCCTGGTCATCCATTGTCCGATTGTGCTATGTTGTTTGTCGATATGGTATCCGGTCACACACACCACGAAGGGATAAACGACGAGAATGGGGAGGGAAACCGCTTCGAAATTTTCCATCAATGATCCTATATCATGAAAAGTAACCTTTAACCTTTAAAACCTAAACGGGAATCTTTGCTCGGAACGTACTTCCAATGTTGCTGTGTTTCGCCACCAAACACCCATCACAACCAACACTCCAAACCGACTCCATCCGTCCACCCATCCATTTCGAGAGAAAAAGAAAAAGAGAGTTTCCCAAGCGATTTCTACCTATTTCTTTCCTGCTCCCTTTTGCTCCATCTGGCTGCCTCAACACCCTCATCTGTGGTCTTCCCTCCCCCCTCCAGCGCCCAGCCCCAATCAACAACCAAGCACCCAGAAACCCTAGCCCGCGCTTGACAAACGCATGTCTTTCCGCTGGATGGAATTGTCATCCCATGTCGTGGCGAGTTGGGACCTCCGTTCGCAAGCAAAACAACGCTGGATAATCGAGTAGGCTTCGACGGTAACGGTAACACGCGCATTGGTATATGAAAGTCGATAGATTCGGCTGGAACTTCAACAGATGACTGCCTTCTCCAATCTCCCCGTCTAGTTGATGGTCTCACCGGCCAGATAGCGCGTGCGTGTGGCCTCGTCGCGGACAGGGGCGAAGTAAGGGTGGGCCATAGCCTCCTTTGCGGTCAGACGTTCCTATAAAGATGAAATCGGATCAGCTTTTGTAATTATTAAGGTATGATGTGGACACAAGAAAACAAAACGTACGTTGTGATCGTAGCGCAGCAGCTTGTCCAAGAAATCAATAGCCTCGTTGGAAACGAAGCGCTGGTTCTCGGCGTTGATGAAGCTGTGCCAGGGTTTCCTCTGGAAGCGGCCGAGGATATCATCGTACTGGGCGTCCAACTCAATCTCGTACTTGTCAAGGTAGTCGAACAACTCGTCCGTGCCGAGGACCTTAGCAATCTTGACTAGTTGATCCGAGTTGCTCTGACCGTGGAAGAAGGGCTCCTTGCGGAAGATCATGGACGCGAACATGGCGCCTAGGCTCCACATGTCCAAGCTGTAGTCGTACTCCTGGAAATCGACGAGCAGCTCCGGACCCTTGAAGTAGCGAGAGGCGACCCTAACGTTATACTCCGTGCCGGGGTGGTAGAACTCAGCGAGACCCCAGTCGATAAGGCGAAGCTGTGAAAAGCAAGACAACGTGTTAGCGCGCATGCTTCATTCCTGGGATTTTCAGAACTTGCCTTTCTGTTCTCATGATCGATCATAACGTTATGAGGCTTCACATCGCGGTGCATAATGCCCTTGCTGTGACAGAAGTCGAGGGCCTTGAGGAGCTCGAAGATGTAGTAGCGGACGTCGAAGTCGTTGAACCTGGGGTACAGGGTGCGGAACTCGGTGTTGTTGACGTATTCGAAGATGAGCGACGGGGTCTTACTCTGGCTATCCCTCACAACGTCGAGCAGAGCGACGATGTTGGGACCGCCCGCCAGGTTCTGGAGAATCTTGATCTCTCTCTTGATCTTCTTCTTCTTGACGGGCTTCAACACCTTGATGACGCATTTTTGGTAGTTAACCACGTTGATGCCCTCGAACACCTCGGAATATTTTCCTCTACCTGCAAGAGTGGGTTGGCTGTTAGATCCGGCGCTTGTTTATTTTTTTTTTCCACCATGGAGGAGGGGGGGCGCATGGCACATACCAATCTTCCTAACGACTTCGTAGTTCTCGAGAACACCCCAGCCTGTGCGCGCAAAGCAGTCAGTAAACAGAAGAATCTTGCGCGACGACGGGGTGATTGAAGCTCACTGATGTTAACAGAGTCGTAGTCCCAGTATGCGCGGGGCATATTCTGGTTGACGTCGGCGTAGACACGGGCCATGTTTGCGGTGGTGTTGGGAAAGGCGAGCACGCTCGATTGCGCGCCGGCAGCCCAGAACGAGGTTGTTGCTAGAGAAATGGTGACGGCTCGGATTGGGACCTGCGATGGCGCGAGCCGAAGGAGAGGGACAGTTGAAGACGGATTGCAGTCGGGTGGATAGGATCAGATGGTGGGATGGAGAATGCAATGCCACTGGCCGTCAGTGCAGCGATGATGGACGTTGGATACCTTGGGGCCAGACGCGGGCTGCGTAAGACGCATTCAGTTCGCAGGGAGGCTTTGCCGCTAGGATTTTGCTAGGCTTTTGCTAGGCTTTGCTGGGGTCTGCTGTGAGGGGTTCTGGTTGGTCCGCAGCAGGCGCCCGATCCTTGTTCGACCCTTGTGTCCCTAAAATGGAGCCTTGTGAGGAAAGTGGGTGATGTTATGCCTGGCAAATGCAAATCTGCCCTGACAGTTCAGTTACAACTTCAACAGCACGGGGTCTCGCCCATTCTATTGTGTAGCTGCGGGTACTATACTTACCTCTACCTCTACCTATGCAATGTATAGAACATGTGGATGGGATCGAGAAGCACCTGGAGTGGAACATTCAACCAACTCAACATCATTGACATCAACCGACAATAGGAAGACATCGATCGTCACTCGTTTGGGTTACCATGAAGGATCTCCAGCTTCCGTCTAAAAAATGCATCAACAGAGAAATATCAACACAAACAGAAAGCATGACTGCCAACTGCCTCAACTTCAAAGGGATGAGTGGCTAGGTAGGCAGGCAAGATCGCATCATCTAGACCTTCCCTAAGCCAACCACTGTACTTGCCTTATTCAAGGGTCGCCGCCCTCTTGAGCGGCTTCCAAGCCTTTCACCATCGTTCTTGCCCTTCTTGAAATTTCACTCTCAGAATAATGACCTGAAGGGACGGAAGGTGCCGGCATAGATACAACACCGATCTACCAGGCCATACCTGCCCATCTCTCTGGTGTTACCCGGTGATCTTCTTTTGAGCATCAACTCCATCACCGCACCACCATGAAGTTGCATAGCGTGTATGGTCTCCGGCAACCCGGTTCGCCTGGCTAGTTGCCGTTCCGTCGACCTTCTCGGCCGGTAAACACCCTCGGTACCCCAAGACACCCCGACAGTCACTTATATCCATTTGTCCACACAACTTCATATATTCGCCTTCTCACACCGGATACGACTTTGATATTCTCGCATCTGCCAGTGAGTCCTAGCTACACTCAAACATGTGGTCGTTAGAAATAGTCTAACGTTTGGTCCCAAGACGATCACAGTGGTAACTGGGTGAGATCACGCGAACCGACATTCCGGGATCTCAGAGACCCATCCGTCCTCCAGAAAGCGTATCAATGGTTGTCTCATTGCAAAGAGCGTCACACAGCCTGTCATGCACCCAAGTACATGGCTGTCCAACCTCCACAACAATCACAGCAATCCTTTAACTTCTATCCCACGCGGCTGGTACGCATCACCCTTCCCAATACTGCGGGGATTCAGCTGGTTCAGCCGTCACAAGGAGTGTCATACGCTGCCCTGAATTTCTTTGCGTTTGTCAAGGCTACCGTACCGCTGTCCGGACGGGGGGACAGGAACAGTCATTGCCCAGCCACAGATCAACAAGCTGGAACCATTACACGAGATCAGCTATACGCTGCAAGAACACTTGCTCGCCAAGAGACTTTTGATATTCGGGACGTTCGGGCTCAGATGGGTTTGCCAGGAAACAACCGGTGCGGATGGTGTCCGGGCGAACGCCGCTTACTTGCGAGGGACGAGAAATGACGGTACCCATTTCAAAGAGCTCGTAGACGGAAGTGAGCTAACAGAGCGGTTATGCATACCTTCACATTCCAACAACTGGCTCGAGGAATGGCTCGGGTTAGTCGCAGCCTTCATGGGCAGACACTCGTCCATCGAATCCCGAGTTCCCGAGATGCAGAAAGTGGACAGCCGGCTCCTGGGTGTATCAGCCATGGCAGCCGCATACTCATCAGCCAGAGACACCGGGCATTATCTCGCCGGACTATGGCAAGAACACCTGTAGCGCCAGCTACTCTGGCAACTAGACGACAGGGTGGTCGGTGCCGCAGTCGAGCAACACAACACCAACTGCCCTCTGGCTCCCGTGCAACTCTGGGAAGTGGGCGAGGAAGCCATCAAATTCAGCGACTTCGAAAGCGACGAGAAGGACCCCACAGAAGAAGACCGCTCGCTCCTCTGGCGCTAGCGCGAGTAACCCGCCGCTCAGCAGCGGTGCGCCTTACTCATTGCTGCGAAGGACCACCCCTTCGTCGACCACGACCGTCCCATTGCGACAGCTATCCTCGACTCTCCCCCTCCTCTCAACAACAGAGAGCACCAGTACTTCTGCCTAGAAGTCTACAGCGGAGTACCCGACGAGCTGGACGGCATTGACGCGGGCTTGGATGCCATGTTGAGTAAAGGGGGTGATCCGAGATTGGATGACGATACATATCAGCTTTACACGGTGGGCTTGCTGCTGAGGTATGAAGGCTATGGGGCAACGTTTTCGAAGGTGGGCGTGTATGTGGTGGAGGAACCGGGACCGGATGAGGCGGATATGGTTTATGGGAATCGGAGCACGAGTGAGTTGGTGAGGTGGATGCATTCGCAGAAAAGGGAGATGCTTGAACTTGGTTGAGATCTGGGATGAAGGTGAGCGTTGGAACAGGTATAGTCGTCTACCGGTAGCGACGTGTTTGCTTGGTTTGATAACTTACTGATGCTGTTAACGATTGTAACGAAATTATCATATAGCTTACTAGCTGTAAAATGGGTTTATGAAGCACTCACGATTTGGAGAACGCCTTCCATACTGTCAAAAAGAACGTCCTATGAATCCAATATACATTACTAGCAAGCTTATTAACCGGGACATGACAAAATTTAGTATCCTTCCATGGGTGTAATGCATTGTGACTGGAGTGAAGAGCCTAAATCGGGATACAAATGGTTTACGAAAGACAATTCACTGTGTTAATTCTACGACCCATTCCATGAAACAAATGATCACAGGAAACCTCTATTAGCTACCACATTGCTCCCACAAGCATGTTACTACCCAATCTGGCTTGTGTTTGTCTTGATCGGCCACTTAAGTAAGTGTTGTAAGTTGACAATACATACCCGCTTGAGGTCTCTCCAAAAGGGGGAAAGTAAACAAAGCCCAGGCCGTTCCCCCCTCCCCCCCTCCCCATCCGCCAAGTCACTCTGACATTCATCCGCCTCATGTCGTAACCATGACCCCTTCTTTCCTTGTCTTAATGGGGAGAATAACGGACTAGACTACGGACTGACCGACAAGCCATTAGGTAGCCAGACAGAAAAAGACGAGAAACAAAACAAATTAATTTCAGAACACACAGGCTCCCCCATTCGCTTGTGCATTTATTTGTTACCCCCCAACACTTTCGCGATGAATATATCGTTGATACGAGAGAACGTTGACACCTGAATACCACTAAAACATGATAAGTGGCTTTCCAGTGGAAGGATAAATTGAGAGAGTTCCAAAATAGCAATCACTTCACGCAAGAGTAGCACTTCAACCGAAAACGATACGAATCAACTACAAGGGGAATCTCAAATTGGTATTCATAAGTTCTTCGCAACTCCAATAGCTTCGCATCGCCAGCATCATAGCTCATCCTCGCTGATCCTTCCTCAGGTGTGAAATATCTCCAACTCTCTCAAGTCATTTATCATCATAAGTCAAATCTCGCCTGTACTGCTGATACGTAGACGTACGTAGGCCTACTTCCCCTAGAATGGCCAACGACGCTCACGCTCTCCGCTCTCGTACTCCCTCCTTCTCTCCTCAAACGCATCCTTGGCCCTTTGGGCAATCCGGTCCAAGAGACTGGGGCTCGAGGGACGCTCCGGATCGGGGTAGGCGAGATCCTCGTCCTCCTGACGACGGGAGTATCCGCCGCCGCCGCCGCCGTACTCCTCTTCATCATCACGACGGTACCTGCGCTCCTCGCGGTACTCCTCGCCATCATCCCGGCGGTATCGACGGTCCTCGTAGCCGTAGCCATCGCGGCCGTTGTCGTCCTGCTCATAGCGACGATACTCCTGGCGCTCGCTACCGTCGTCGTACCGCGTCTCGGTGTACTCGGCTTGGCCGTAGCGGCTGCCGTCGTGTCCGTACTCGGTCGTGGTCTCGGAATATCCGCCGTCGGGCTCGTAGCCGCCGGAACGATAAGCGCTGGTTGCCTCGTTATTGAAACCACCGCCTAGGATGCCGCCGGCGACCGCGCCGAAGAGATTGCCCTGGTTGTTGCTGGCCTGGCCGCTGAGGAAGTCCGAGAAGCCCTGCTTGACGCCGCCCACGATCCGGTCGGCGGCGGCGGCGGCGATCCGGTCCTCCATGGTCTCGGGCGCCTCGTTCTTGAAGTTCTTGTGCATGCCCAGGGGCTTGCCGCAGCCGTGGCCGCAGTCCTGGACGCCTTCCTTGTGGTTCTCACCGTTCATAACGCCATCGCGGCTGAGCTTCTGGCGGTACTCTTCGCGAGCGTCCTCGCCCAGGTCGTTCCACCACTCCTCGATGGAGGAGAACATCAGCTGGCGACCCTCCTCGGCACCGTCCTCGCCCATGTCACGCTGGGCGGGGTGGTGGAGAACGCCGTAGATGATTCTGTTCAGGAGGCGGTCGACATCAGCGCCATCATCGTCCCAGGCGTCCATCAACTGAGGAACAACCCAGCTGACCACCTTGGAGGCGGTGCGACCGGCGACCTCGTTAAGGATCTAACCTAAAGTTAGCCATGGATCAATTAAGAGGCGACGAAAAAGCGTTGAAAACTCACGTTGGAGAAATGGTCCTTGGCCAACATGGAATGGGTAGGGTCGGTGGATCTGTCATCATCGAAAACAACGAATTGCTCGTTCTTGCTGCTGTTGATGATCTCGGTGGAGCCGGTGGCAAGCTCGTTCTTGATCTGGTCAATAAGAGGAATGACGACCGGAGCAATGATCTGGAAAACGAAAAGAGAGAGCTGCTCCTCAAGCTGCTCAATGATCTTGGGGAGGATAGGGATCTTCTCAATAGCCTTCGAGATGGTCTGGAGGAGATCGTCGTGGAACTCCATGACAGGCATAACCTGGTGGTAGACCTGCTGGACGTAAACAGTGAACTCCTCAGGCTCTCTGGGGGACACGCTCATGTTCTCAAGCTGCGAGTTGGCGGCATTCTCCTGGATCTCGTCGAGCTTGTTCTTCTTGTCGCCGCCGATCAAGCCATCGGGGATCTTGTCCAACAGGTCGCGAAGAAGGCTGGTGTCGCCGTTGCGGCCGGCCTTCAGGGTTCCCTCGAGATCCTCGATTTCGCTCTGGGTCATCTTGTCGGACAGTTCACCGGTGACGGAGTGCAAGAAATCAACACCGCCGAAAGTACCAGTGACAACGGGGTAGACGGAGTGGCGAGCACCCCGGATGCGCAGCTTAGTGTCGCGGCCGACGTGAGGGAACACATCGCGCTCGCCCATCTCGATCAGAGCGAGCTCGGTGTAGTTACTGTGAGCGAGGTAATCTGCAAGATATTAGCCAATGTCACACTCGTCGTGAAAGGGTGCCGTAATTGTCTTCTTACCCTCCAGGCAATGCAATCCAGTACCCATAAGGCGCAGGGCTTCATAGAGCTCGGTCTTGTCATTGGTCTCCTTGTACGAGCGACCCAGGCGAATGCACTTGGAGAAGAGCTTGCGAACATGCTCGGCAGAGGACATGATGCCAATGTTCTCGTTGGCAATGTAGTTCTTCATGCCGGTCTCGGGGTCAATGGCCAGCTCAGTTCCCTCATCGACGGGGCCGCGAAGGCGGCGATCGTAGTCGCGGGCGTCCACGTTGTCGGCATAGTTCTTGGGGTTGTCGATATGATCCTCGGGGCGATAGCAGCCCAGGCGGTCGGCGGTGACTTCGAACTCGCGGCTACCATAGCCGAAGGTCAAGAAACCGAGAATGCAGAGAAGGAGACGGATGGCTTCGGCGGAAACAGCCTTGACGGTGCCGACATCGATGGCTTGGGAGTAGTCGCGGAGCCAGTTGCCAAAGTAGACGCGGGAAACGGAGAGCTTGTCGAAAGTCTTGCCGCCCATGGCGCGGGCCATGACGATCTTGAGGAGGGCATCTTCGATATCACCGTGGCGCCCTGTTTCCCATCTCTTTGATTAGCACCACTACTCGTAGCTGTACAAGCACCTGGATGGTTCAAAACGTACAGTTTTGGCCCTCGACCTTGGAGATTCCAGCAATGTTACCGGCGCCAAAGGCCAAGGCGGGGCTGGCGAACAGGTAGATAACGAGGAACCCGAGAACGAACGGGTAAGGTTTGAAGGTCGCCATCTTGACGGCTTCGTATGGTCGATAAGTGCCTTTACTGACTATACGATTGTCTTTTGGTTTTAGATCGAAAAGCAGGGAAAAGGGAAAATTCAGGGTCTGTCGGCGTCGTCATGTTAGCTGAAGTTAGCAAGTGAACGGGACTGGACGGAGTGGAAACCGGGGAGCGCCCCTCTCCCTAGCTCGACCCTTAATTCGAAAGCGTACCACCTGTACGTGAAAGATGGGGATTTGCATTTTACATACCAGCTTTGTATCTGTCGTCGGTACTGGACAGGTTTCCTAGTTACCCCGCCGGTGGTATTCAGATGAAGGAGATGAGGTGAACACTTTTCATGGAGAGAAGATGGGATGTCAGAGTTAGATTGTGTTTGCTTTTGACAGAAAGGTGAAGGCCGGAGGCAGCCATAAAAGTTCAGGTATCAACTGCTCCAATGTCAAGGAGCTGAAACCGCCTGATGCTGATTCTTGCTGATACTGGACGCGGGTGGGGGTTCGTCGGCACATGTGAGGAGAGTCAGCCAACTGCCTTTCTTGCCGTACCAACTTCCAACCCATTTCCATCAAAGTGGCTAGCCAGCCCGGTACGATTGTGAGACGGACGAGGACCGTAGAAAGCTGACGGCGTTCCCGCTAGGTATGTTCATCATTCATGCCGTATTCTCGTCGTCATCTTCATTGTCCCGACTGCTCGGGGTACCAACAAACGCCGTGACGGCGCTTGTAAAACAACATCACGTCAGAAGGGCCGCTCCTCTGGCTCTCTGGCTTCTCATTGAGTTCCGTCGGTCGTTCACACCGTTCCCACCGTCGACCAGCAATCCCAGGGTTGGAGGAAGCGCTGCGCCAAGAGTTTGTTTCCAGCTTCCATCACAGCGGGGCACAGAGAGGGGCCCTTTTCGGGGTGTTGGAACATGGGCGGAGAGACTGGACACGAGGCGCAGACCATGGAGGGGTTTCCGCTGCACCAATCCAGTTCTCCGCCGTGAGTGGCTCGACGCCGGAGAGTGGAAGGGGGAACATCCCCGAACCCCGTTCTGCCGTTCTCCTCCGTCAACATCGTGAGTCCCGTCCAACCAGAGTCTTTCACCGTAGCCGACCATTTGTTCGATGGGCTGCAGTCACCTCCCAACCGGCAACCGCCAAACCGACCAACTGACAACCCGAGCCGCTAGCGCTGGCATCCACTCAAGCGATTGTTTTGCGCGGCGCCTGCCGGGACTTCAAGGTCGTTAACAACGGGCCCCTTGTCACCTGTACAGTTGACGCTCAACTCCAATGTCGACATTCCAAAGTGCGGAGAAATCCAGGCTGGCAGCTGTCCGTCCATGCAAGAGGATGTGAGTGATACATGAGCATTGGTGATCGGCCGTTTTATATCTACCATGATATCTGAAGATAAAGGTTATGGTTGAGCTTCTGCCGTAAGTTCAGTGTATTTTCGAATGATCCCAAGTTTGATGATGACACCGTGCTATCCAGGCTGAGCCACTCTAGAGCTTGGACATCTGATATCATCGCGGGCCGTGGCGGAAAGCTAAAGGCTCGGGTAATGCTGTGAGGCGGTCCGTTTGTCACATCACGGGAAGAGACAATGCGAAGTAGCGTCAGCTACTACTCAGTACGAATGGAACATCTCAACTCTCTGGCTGATGAAGGTTACAGACATCATCTTCCAGGACCGCTGATACAGCCTCGAGACAGCGTCTTCCGGCGTCAAGATAGAAAGGTTAGTGAAGCGTCCTGGCGGTTTCATTCGCTAGTAGGGCTTTGCGTAACAACCTGGCGCCCTCAAAGCTTCTTGTGATGGCCATGAAATGAAAGATAGTGCTGGGAGTGGGCAATACCTTTTAGGAACTCATGAGGTAAGGACACATGCCATCGACCACCACGGCGTCCTTGGGTTGCCAGCAAGCCGCTGCTTACGACTGCTTACAACGAAGGATATTTTGTAGTGATGGCACATCAGAAGATGGACACCAGTGAATGTATCTGGTGAGTTGATAGCGTGTGTTCGTCTTGGGGGCCCATACTTGGAGTTCTGTATGTCTTCTTGCTCACATAAAAGCATTCTATGACAGAAACCACTACACGAAACAAGCAAATGAGTCGGCGGTGCGACACCACAACTGAAGATTGTAAGGCTGAGACATATTCCTTGAGGAGGTTCTGCTAACCTGCTAGGGATCGGCCACTAATTCTGTGATGAAAGAGGAGAGAGCATTGGCAGTCCCCGATATCGTCACTGAATTCCACAATACGACACTGTCTTGACTGTTTACAAGTCAGTCTGGAAAGGCTGCTTTTGAGGAGTCAAAAGTCTCGAGCCTTTTCCAAGCTCCATCCCACGCCCTGACGATATGAGCGTGGGTGTGTGCTTGATGCCAGAGCAAAGAGGAAGGTTTGGTGGTTCTACAGCAAGTGCAATTCGGGCTTTCAAGGTCTTTAAGAGGAAGTTTCCAAGTTCTGTGCATTATGAATGCTGTTAACTGCATACCTAACAGCGCTCTAATATCACGATCATCTTGAACAATGGTAGTCATTCTCTTTTAGTGGCTTTACCAAAGTCCTGAACATTGCAACTGGACGGGATGTTGGGGCGAACTGAGTACCTGAAGAGCAGGTGCAGTGATGGCGGGAGTGAGCGAGGTGGACATCGTCAATCACTCCCAATCACTGAGATCACTGAGGAGGTGCTCCCCAGCGCCAATGCCAATGACGGGATTATTGACGGGACTCCACAGCAAACCGGATACCGGTGAAAATTCAGGCAGTGCCCCTCTTCTCGCGCACCCTTGCTACTTCAGTTCTGGGCGTGGTAACAACACACTGTCGTGTCTCAAGGCGCTGAGGAGAAGGCGCGCTATTGGACGGCAAATGCATGCTCGCGTGCAACAACGAAGGCCTGCTGCCAAACACTGAGCGACAGGCCTCAACCTCGACAGAGACGCGTCGTCAGAGGTTTCAGCATCCAGACCAGTCCAGTACCTCTGCAACACAGCGGTGTCTTTCAGGACCAACAGCCCCAAAGGCATGTCAACTTTCTTCAGACTTGTTAACATCATCAGCCTGGCTGTTAACACAGAATGACACCCACGCTTTATATCATGTTTTCAAGTCTTAGCAGAGGTCAAGTTTAGTGATTCCCTGGGCTTTCACGGTAAGAGAGAACCCAAGGTAAAAGTGACAAATGATCTGTGTACCTCTATGGCACTTGGGTGAAGAAAGTGGATGCCACCTCGAAGGTACCTCTATCAGTTCAAGTACATCAGAGACTGGACGAACACAGACTCGGCGAAGGTGAAGACCACCTCAACTCAAGACCGTCAGCCTGTGAGGAGAGAGGTCAAGGTGTGAGTTGTATCAGTGTCAATGCTGTAGCAACCCAGAGGTTTGCCCTCCTGGTTGCACCAGGCCACTCTGTACGAGGCATCTGTTAGGTACCTCACACTGGAGGTGAGCAGACGGGATGTATTTGACATTGGTTGTATTGTGCTGCGAGAACGGAGTAGAAGAGAACTGGGCGAGTCCTGGTAGAAATGCTTGGGGAACGCAAGTGCGAGGATGGAGAGATCCTGGTTTCAATGCGTCTTTGCTGCACTTGCAACTCATCCTCCAAGATGGAAACCAGATGTACTAAAAGTTCACAGTCATCCAATCTCAACCTTCATGTTCCCACTCACTCGGTGATTTGGGTGTAAGAATGATCTCCATTACGAGCGTTACAAGTCTTCTCTGCGGTGTGTGATAGTGTTGCCCGTCAGCCCATCCAGGACCTGATCAGAACGCCTTGCAATCGTTGTTCTTCTGACCCCTTGTCTCCCATGTTGAGGTGTCTGCTCCCGTTGCTCCAGCCTCCAGGCTTGCTTGCCTGGCCTCCCGTTGCAGGCTGGGTGAAGGGGAGAGGTGTCGCTATCGCCTGCCGGGACACTCCAGCTGTCCGCCCGCGGAAGACGGAGACCCAGTGGGCATTGCGGGGAGGGGTCTCTGATCTTGCCCCATTTCCATTGGGGGCGCCCAAATCAGGCTGCATCTCAGTGCACAAATTTTCTGGCCCGCCCAGTCTTGGGGGGAAATCAGTGCTGAGTGCTGGGAGCCCACGCTGCAGCTACAAATTTCGGTATCCCCCCGCATCCCCCAAAATTCGCCGCGAATTTTTTCCTCCCCTTCTCTCCGTTCATTTCCGGCGTCCTCATCCCCCAAGTACCCCAAGCACACAGCAAGCAGACCACCGCACACCACCCCGACCCCCGGATTCCACCCACCGCCAACCTTTGCCTTTCAGCAGTTGCGCCCTGATACGACAGGCACCCACTCAGCAGGAACCGTCCGAGCTTTCTGTTTCCATTAAAACCCGCACCCGCACCCAAGCTTCCACCTGAGCCCTAACTGCTCCCCTACACCATCACTACCGCCACCACAACACCGTCCCCAGAGCCCACAAGCATCACTACCAGTACCAACTATCAATCGACCAACCGCCATCATGCCGCGCCCCCCCAAGAACAAGGTCGCCGAGATCGTTAAGCCAGTCATCGCTGCGCCTGGCCCTGCGAGGGTCATTGATGTCGACAATTTCATCCGTGTCCGCGATTCGGTAAGCCTTGCACCTTTCAACATCCCGTACCAGCTCCTCGCAACCACGGCACCCCCATTCCCGTTCCCCTCCCCATCCCACCACCAGAATCCCGGATTCGGAGCCGAGATGTCTGTTGCATGGTGCGCAATGGATATTCCACATAGACACAACTCCTTCGTGGCTTGGTCACGTCCTATCGCGTCGTAGGGGTCAAACTACACTACACGTTAAGAGAGACGGACGCGATCAACCACACGCCATGCCCCAAAAGCTGCCAAGTTTTCTGCGAGAAGATGCAAAATAGAATATGTATTACGCTTGAAACATGACTCGCTAACTCCTCTCAAGGTCTACCAACGTCTCTCCACCATCCAGGATTTGATTAAGAGCTTTAGCCAAGACTACTTGCGTCAGACCAACCTTCTCCTCGGAGAGGGCACCACCCTCGAGAATGGCGGTGATCTCGAGCACCTCCAGACTTCCTTGACCGGCATGCTCCCTGGCTTCATGGTTGCTCCCCAGCCCATCGTCGAGGAGAAGAAGGAGCGCAAGAAGCGTACCCACGACCCCAACGCTCCCAAGCGCCCCCTGACCCCTTACTTCCTCTACATGCAGACTGCCCGCCCCATCATTGCCAATGATTTGGGTGAGGAGGCCCCCAAGGGCGCCGTTCAGGAGGAGGGCCAGCGCCGCTGGTCCGTCATGGGTGCTGCCGAGAAGCAGGGCTGGAACAACGCCTACCAGTACAACCTGCGCCTCTACAACGCCCGTGTGCACTCCTACAAGCATGGCAACGCCAACGCCAAGAACATGACCGATGACGAGGCCCTCAAGTATGCTGATGAGTATAATATCGAGATGCCCACTGCTGCTCAGGTCGAGGAGGTCCCTACCGACCAGGACGCCATTGCTCAGCAGTTGCAGCAGAACGTTGTGCCCGATGTTTCTGAAGAGGAGGAGGAGCAACAGCAGCAGCAGCAGCAGCAACCGGTCCCCGTTTCCAAGACTCCCATCAAGAAGAAGGACACCCGCAGGCGCAAGACTGCCACTCCCGCTGAGGAGGCCGAGCCCGCTAAGCCCGTGGTCGCCCCCGCCAGCCCGGAGAACAAGAAGCGCAAGCGGAACGTCAAGGCGGCTGAGGTGGAGGAACCTAAGAAGTCGGGGCGCAAGAAGACTAAGGCCTAGGCGCGCTCTTAATCCACCTCACGTTGTCCCTTGCCGGTTTCTTTCATGATACCTCGTGGCGAAACATCCGGGTTGTTTCCTTTTTATTTTACATTTCCGTTGTACGATACCCTCCCTCCCTCTGTCAAAGGAAAGGGGAGTGCGTGTCCATGTCAACTAGCGCGGGTCAGCGTCATGGTTATTTTCTCTCTGTTAAAGTGGCGGTCTTTGGTTCACTTTACTTGTCCTGTATGATTCAATGAACGGCTAAAGAGGAATTGGGGGTTCTCCATCTACGAAAACAAGCTCGAAACGGAAAATAGGGGGTTAAGGATAAACGGAGTCTACTCTTTTTGCGAAATCATCGGCTGAAGGATGAATGAGGCTGTCTCGCATGTTGTACTTATGACGGTTAGCTCTACATAGCATGTGTGGGCCCGGTGGATGAATGAATTCACAGTTCGAATAGTGTTTTGGTCTTTTGATGCTGTGGGTACAGGCGAAGCAAAGAGGTCACTCATCGGTTCATGGAGGATCGGAAGGTGTTGTTTTTGTCCCGCTGCGAAGATTTATTAACACGATCTATACTGAACTTGAGTCAACGGTGCTTGATCATGTGATGTTATGTATACCGAGATGTTGGTGTTAGTCACAGAAATCATTCTTTCACAACGGCAGCGATACCACACGTAGTAGGTGAAAGTCATCACGGTTTGGAGTTAACAACTGCCAGTGACATGTGAGTAGAACCACACAAAAACAAAGCAAATCTCTTTAGCTGAGTATAGCATAGCCCGTATATCTACCTCCTACTTCTCGCCTTTGCAAAAACAAACTGCCCCTTTAGTCCCCTCACCCCCTCACCCCCTTCCCCCTTTCATCAGTAAACAAACCAACTCTGCGTCAACGGCAACTCGCTACTCGGCTCCGCCGTACACACCTCCCCATCCGCCTCAACCGTATACCTCTCCGGATCAACCTTCATCTTCGGCATCCTCTCATTAAACTTCATATCCCTCTTGCCCACACTTCTACACCCCCTAACAGCCTCCACTCTACTCTTCAATCCATACCCTTCAATCGCACCACTATCCAAGCTCGCCTGCGAAACAAACAGCACCTTGGTCTTCGCAACCATCGGCGCAAACATCGGCCGCGCAATAACCGGCTGCACGGTCGGGATCGAGGCATTGGGGTCGCCCATCATCGCGCTCGCTATCAGTCCGGACTTGATCACGAGGGACGGCTTGGTGCCGAACCAAGCTGGGTCCCAGACGACTAGGTCGGCCAGCTTGCCGATTTCGATGTTCCCGATCAAATGGGACATTCCCTGTGCGAGGGCCGGGTTGATGGTGTATTTGGAGATGTACCGCTTCACGCGGTAGTTATCTGCTCCTGTGTCTTGGTCCTCCGGAAGGGGGCCGCGTTGCAACTTGTTCTTATGAGCCGTGTTCCAAGTCCGCAAGATGACTTCGCCGCAACGGCCCATGGCCTGGCTGTCGCTGCTCATCATGCTGATTGCTCCGAGATCATGCAGCACGTCCTCGGCGGCGATGGTCTCAGCGCGGATGCGCGACTCGGCAAAGGCCACGTCCTCGGGAATGTTTTTGGAGAGGTGGTGGCACACCATCAGCATGTCGAGATGCTCGTCTAGCGTGTTGCGGGTGTACGGCCTGGTGGGGTTGGTAGACGAGGGGAGGACGTTGGGGTGCTCGACGACGCTGATGATGTCCGGTGCGTGCCCGCCTCCCGCTCCTTCGGTGTGGTACGTGTGGATGGTGCGGCCGGCGAAGGCGGCGATGGTCGATTCGACGAAGCCGGACTCGTTTAGAGTGTCGGTGTGAATCAGGCATTGCACGTCGAGCTCGTCGCAGACGGTCAGGCAGGAGTCGATGGCGGCGGGGGTGGTGCCCCAGTCTTCGTGCAGCTTGAGGCCGCAGGCGCCGGCGAGGATTTGTTCCCGTAAGGCGGAGGGGGAGCTGTCGTTGCCTTTGCCGGTTATGCCGATGTTGAGGGGGAGGGAGTCACAGGCTTGAAGCATTTGGCGCATGTAGTGGGCGCCGGGGGTGCAGGTGGTGGCGTTTGTGCCGGCGCTGCGGAGGAGGGGGGAGTTAGTTTCTTGGACTTGATATGTTGAGGATGGGTGAGAGAGGTCAGAAGAAGGGAAAGGCTTACCTTGGACCGGTTCCACCACCAAGGAACGTGGTGATGCCAGCAGCCAAAGCCTCAGCCGCCTGTTGAGGGCAGATAAAGTGAATATGCGTATCAATACCTCCCGCGGTAATGATCTTGCCTTCACCGGCCACCACATCCGTGCAGCTTCCCACGATCATGCCCGGCGTGACACCATCCATCACATCAGGATTACCAGCCTTGCCGATGCCCACAATGACACCAGCCTTGACACCGATATCCGCCTTGTAGATGCCCGTCCAGTCCACCACCAGCGCGTTCGTCACCACCATATCCAGCGTCTCCTCATCCGACCTGCCCGTCGCCTGCCCCATGCCCTCGCGCAGCGTCTTGCCGCCGCCAAACTTGCACTCGTCCCCGTAAACGGTGTAATCCTTCTCAACCTTGATCCACAAATCCGTGCTGCCCAGCCTCACCATATCACCCACCGTCGGACCAAACATGACGGCGTACGCCCTCCGATCCATAGTAAACGGCTCACTAATAAACGCCGCATCGCCCACCGGCTCCTCCGGGGTGTGCGCAAAACCGGCCGCCTGCAACTTGGCAATGATCTCCTCCGCCCTCGCCAGGTCCAGCTTGCCCGAGGCCAGGTTGTTGCCGCCCCTGATGACCTTGTTGCCGCCAATCTCCACCAGCGTGACCGTCTTGGTGTCGCCGGGCTCGAACCGCACCGACGTGCCGGCGGGAATGTCCAGCCGATACCCGTACGCCCGCGCCCGGTCGAACTCCAGCTGCGGGTTCGTCTCGATGAAGTGGTAGTGGCTGCCGACCTGGATCGGCCGGTCTCCCTTGCTGGTCACACGAAGACGGATGCGTTTCCGGCCCTCGTTGAGCTTGACCTTGGCCTCCTTGACGCAGACCACGGCGCCGGGCTGCTTGCTGGCTTCGTAGGCCGCGGCCGGGGGCAAGGGGAAGACGGAGTCGTCGTTGGGCGGGATCGGCAGGAAGCTGCCGTACAAGGCGCGGGCGAGGTCGCCGTCGTCGGAGCTGATGGGGTTGTGCACGGTCACGAGGTAGGTGCCCGAGGGGAAAGTGCCTTCGACTTGGATCTCGTGCAGCGTCGAGGTCACTTCGGGCAGGACGTGGCGCCGGCCGAGCATGGTGGCGCCCAGGGCCATGAGGTCGGCGACGGTGTGGTTGCCATCGCGGATGAGCTCTTGGAGGTTGTTGGCGATGAGCGCCTGGGTGGATGAGTGGGTGTGTTAGTGAGTGAGGCGAGTGAGGGAAAAGACAAAAGGAGAAAACTTACGGTGGCCTCGGAATGGTTCAGTTTTACACCTCTTGCTAGACGTCTTTGAGCTAGGAATCCTAGCTGAGAGATGGCGAGCTTATCGAGCTGTTAAGGTGAAAGGAAACATGATGTTGTCAAGAGGTTAGTTACGCTGCCCTGACTTGCCGGGATGAATCCCTCTCATGGAGTTGTCACACCCCTTTTACTGTCCAGCCTAGTCACACAGTTATAAAGGTATACACACGATGCCAACGTCCGTGACTCTTTCGTTGTGTGAACCGTGACCGGAGGTGTCTTGGTCTTGTAAACCGCAAGAGGTGGAGGATCAACGGGGGCACAACAAGCAACCACTAACCTCTTTGGGAATGAGATGCATCTTGTTCCTGTCACAGTGAGGTTCTGCCTCCTGTTGATGTTGACGAGAGTTTCGATG